TTCTATTCTCGACGGCAAAATTTCGAATTCGTTGGTCACGCATCTGATACTTTGCACAGTCGACAATACTACATCCAAGGCCTCTGCACCTTAAATTTTTCCCACTTTTTCGTCTAATGAATTTAATTGCATCCGCGAGTGAAGTCGGATAAGCAAATCGTAAACGGTCTTGACAATTTTAAAGCTAATTTTCGAGATGTTAGCATAGAGATAGGTTAGAAGCCGTCGAAATATATATATATATATATATATATATATATATATATAATTTCAATGGCATTACTGTCATTATTCCATTTTCTTTGTGGCCTGGGGATTTTTAATGCACTAATTTGCTCAATTTTTACTCGCGATCGGATATTTTTATCGAGATTTAAGGATTGGCAATATTGGCGATTTGGAAGGGCATTTATTTGAGGATAATTTCAGCACGAGTGTCATTAAAAAATGAATCCGTAATTACGTGACATGTTAAATCCTTAGAAGGATTTATAAATCCTTTTAAATTATAAATATATAAAAGCAGAAGGAATCTTATAAAAGGAACTCTACAAAAAGTAGAAAAATGAAGTAATTGACCTCGATTTATCATAAGAAAAAAAAACAAAAAACAAACAAACAAACAAACAAACAAACAAACAAACAAACAAACAAAATCAACTTTCAACGTTGTTGTTTAATTTCGAAGTAAGAAAAGGATAATTGGATTAACCTTCGTCGTTTCAAGAGAATTCAATTTTCTTTTCAATTTTCAATGGGAATCATTATTAATCCGATACATCTGGGATAAATTGGAAAAGCGAATTGAGGCAAATATCGGTGAGAACTATGATTTTCATTTATGCCCGTCAAAATTTAATATTCTTTAAATATTCTTAATCAACTATTTATAAAGTATTTCTCTTCTTTTAAAAAAAAAAAAAAAAAAAAAAAAAAAAAAAAAAAAAAAAAAAAAAGTGCTTAGAACGTGGTTAATAAACTGTAAAATTATTCTCTGAAATTATGTTGAAATTTTGCAGAATATATAGCAACTTTTATGCTCTCGTTGCGGCGAGTATTTATACCAACAGTGATAAAGTTAATATTTATTAGAATTTAAATAATATTTGCAATTTCAATATATTTATAAATAATGTTTATAAACAATATTTATAAACAATATGGCGTACACGCGTTAGGAAAGCTTGTCATTGATTTCAATTACATTTTAAACGACTCTTGCTAATTGTTTAAGACATAGCCAATAAGTTGATTATATTTGTTCATAAATTTAATACGCGCGTCACCATTCTTCCGGAACAAATAATTTCTGTAATATCGGTGTTTCTGAAATGCAGCGCACTGTATCGGAAATTGATAGAATCGCGGACATTAGAAAAATTTTTCATTCCCGTTCGACCGCCTCGTTTCTCGACCTTACCTAACGCGCATGAATTTTTTTTTTTATCAATTTAGAAACCATGGAGACTCGTCGGTTAGAAAATAATAATAATTGAAACTTCTTTAATATTAATATTACGCAATTAAATTAAAGCATAAATTTTTTTACAAATAATACAATTAAACCGGCTGTATTTGCAGTAGAATGAATTTAAGATTTTTCATATCATTTTACGTTCATCATTTTACTCTGCCTAATCGCTATGCAGTTGTTACCGCATATTAAGTAAGAAAAAAAATTCTTCACATATAATATTTCAATTCGTTGCTTTATCATATCTTTTATATTAAATTATACTTTTACTGATTTGTAATTTCTTTTTATCCTTTTGTATTGTACACCGAAAAACTCGTGTCTATCTTCTTTTTTTTATCATTATCATTATCATTATCATTATTATTGTTATTATTGTTATTGTTATTATCATTATCATTATTATTGTTATTATTGTTATTGTTATTATCATTATCATTATTATTGTTATTATTGTTATTGTTATTATCATTATCATTATTATTGTTATTATTGTTATTGTTATTATCATTATCATTATTATTGTTATTATTGTTATTGTTATTATCATTATCATTATTATTGTTATTATTGTTATTGTTATTATCATTATCATTATTATTGTTATTATTGTTATTGTTATTATCATTATCATTATTATTGTTATTATTGTTATTGTTATTATCATTATCATTATTATTGTTATTATTGTTATTGTTATTATCATTATCATTATTATTGTTATTATTGTTATTGTTATTATCATTATCATTATTATTGTTATTATTGTTATTGTTATTATCATTATCATTATTATTGTTATTATTGTTATTGTTATTATCATTATCATTATTATTGTTATTATTGTTATTGTTATTATCATTATCATTATTATTGTTATTATTGTTATTGTTATTATCATTATCATTATTATTGTTATTATTGTTATTGTTATTGTTATTGTTATTATTATTATTATTATTATTATTATTATTATTATCATTACATAATGAAATACTCGATATATTATAAAAATGTATTGTTATGTTATTATTATTCAATTAATTAATAGATTAAATTGATGTAAGTAATGCTTGGGGGGGTTGCTTAAATATACGAATAAGCTTGTAAATAAATATCTTAGTATTACAGGAAATTAAAGTATATTAAAGTTATATTTAAGTGCATATTTAAAAAATGTATTATATTTTAATGAGTAAACATTCTCAAATGTTACGTTAGTTATGATTTTAATATCTTTAATATATATATTTTTTTTTTTTTTTTTTTTTTTTTTTAATATAAAGTACTACATAAAATTTTAATCACTATTTATTGAGCGAATAGCTGATTATATAAAAAGTAGTCATTAAAAATTTGCTTAGCTCGTTTCTCTTTTACAATCCCATCTTTAGAAAAACAAGATTTATCAGTTGGACCATTGGACGGCTTATTACATCGGCAACAATATTTTAAAAAATTTTTGTCTCTGAGCTTTTTAATCTCCTCGTAAACTACGTTGAGTTCATCCTCGAGACAGTGATCGGTTTCGCAGCTCGATAATTTATACGCGTCGAGAGAGGCCTTGATAACTCGTGCGCACGCGGAGGTCGCGACCCTGAGATGCTTAACGGACCACGAGTTCGCGAAGAAAACGTGGGGACGCTTTGAAAATTGGGGACAGAACTTTATGTTTTTTAATGATGGTTGAAGGTGTCGAATAGAAATTCGTTAGTCATTGGGTAAAGGTTCTGTCCGGCCAATGAGATTGTCCATCCTTAAGACTACGGGGTTTTTTTTTTTTTTTTTTTTTTTTTTTTTTTTTTTTTTTTTTTTCAAAATTAAATTTAGACAAGCAAAGCTCACGATACGCTCAAATCGATCTCCTCGAGCTTGTTTACAACTTCCTTAATAAATTGTGAAACAATGCGATTGCAAGAATAATTGAGTGTCGAGTTGCATTATTCGCATCCTGTGAGAATTCAAATATCAAAAAGATTCGATGCAAGGATACTTGGATTATGGACTTACCGATAACTTTGCTAAATATATATATATATATCAATCAATATCTCAATGAGAAATGAAAGAATCTGCGATTTATTATGTATAAATGCCTACGTATTTGTATGAGAAAGATCGATATGTCCATAAGGATGCGACATATGCACTAGATAGAGGCTTTTTTCAATATTCATGTATAGTTAGGGAGTAATTTTATCTATTTATAATAATATATTATTAAATAGAAAGTTGCTATAAATTGTAAAAAGTTTTAATATTTATTTCATAATTTCCATATTATTATTGTACTCCATAGTATTTAATAATTTAATTTTTTCTTTTTCTTTTTTTCATGTTTTTTTTTTATTTTTTATTTTTATAAACAATTATATGCAATATTTAAAGTATATATTTAACTTTAATTTGAGCCGTATAGTTATGAGTTTTAATTAAGCAATACAGTTTTGCGTATTGATTTAAGTGCTTTAGAAGTTTCAAATCTAGATTTTAGCCAATTAAATTTTACGAATAAAATGCCAATAAAGAGCTTCTTAAACACGATTTAGTTACCCGTATGTTTTTATTATTTTTACGAGTGTAACAATAACGTCTTACGTTGCTTTTAAACTTTTCTAATGTCAAAGATCAAGGTCACGTATACTTATAGAATTATCATTGGTCGTAGACAACTGAAATTCAGCTAAAAAAAAAAAGTTGCATGTATTTATAGAGAATGACAGGATTGTTCCTTCATCGTTAACATCCCACGAAAGGATCTCGGCCGCTCATTATCCTTCGAGATTCAAGCGCAATGCCTATTAAAATTGACCAGGAAGTCTCGTCTTTTAGCGATCCATCATTTTGGCGGGTGGATGAACCGAAGGATAACCGAAGTGGCGCTAGCTAGGTCGTCACACGGCCAGGCTGCCAGACCGAGGCTATGTCCCACACTCTTACGAGTGTCCGCATCCTCGTACTAAGTCCCATGATTTCTGTCTGCACCGCAGGATTCGTGACGACGACGCGGGTAACGCACGCGACGCCCGGGGCGCTGTACGCGCACGTGAACAACCGCGACTGGGAGTGCGACACGACGGTGCCCGTCGAGCATCGGGCTTGCATCAAAGACATCGCCAGGCAGCTCATCGAGGATGAGCCCGGGAACAAGTTCAAGGTACGTGAAGCAGCTACTCGCGTTCGCGCGGCCCCCGGCTCGAGCCTCCGCTTACTTGCCCTTCGCCTCCTTATTGCGCCTTTGTACTCTACTAAGTATCGTGGAGGAGCGATGAGTAATCGATCGGCGTACCATCGTCGACGTCACTCTACTAACGCGCAGTGCAAATTTAATGGGCCAACTTGGCTGGAAAGTTCGAGGCTAATAAAACGGCGACGCTTTTCTAGATAATAGCGAGTTCGCGTCATGTTTTGTTCGCTGATTCAATGACGAATGCAAATAAGCCCGAATCCAACTAAATACGCGTGACCAAATTTTCACGAAATACTCCTGTCTCAATGTTACGCGTGAGTGAAATTATTTATCATTGCTTTGCATCGATTCTCGCTAAAGCTGCAAAAAGAATATTAAAGATTTTCCCAATTGATTATTAAATTTTACATGATTTTCAGCATGAAAATCTTAAATAAAAGTAAGCCTATAAATATACGACTTTATAGGAGAGATTAATGTAATTAACCGCTAATGTAATTATCTAATGAGCACTTTTTAATGATATATTTTTCACAATCACGTATTATCACATCGTAATCTTCATCGTAATATTTATTTGAGCCGAGAAGCAATTGTTCGATAATGCAGATTACATTTAGTTCTTACATTTAGATCAATATTTATCTCGATAATTATCGAGAACATTTATCACGATAATGTAGGGTTAACGGTGTATCGATTTAACGAAGTCTAAAGTACTTTTTACGTTAACGAAACATACATACTGATATTGCAGACTACTTTTATTAATCTACTTTTATTAATCTAATGGCCTCTTAGTCTGTGCGAGAGTGCCTCCTTCATAAATCGAGCCTTATAGCATTAATCTATAAAAATCAGTTTAATCATGTGCGTTTAATCCAAATGCTTTATAGCCGTAATTGTCGAGTGTCTCCTGCTTTGAATATATTTACCTAGCGAGTAAATTGAGAGAAAAATGCTCCTATAATTTATCGTTGGTTAAGCTTGAAAGGCCGGATGGTCGATGTGAACGTAAAGGGCCATGGCCCATCTCGGGGGGCCTGAATTATTGATTAATGATGGGGTAGACGGGGCGCGTCGACGAGCGTTTGTCAAGTATCTCGCTCGAGTCGAGCCAATTCTCGCTCGTCGAACCAACACGAGCCAGTCCGCTCGTCGGACGTGGACGGAGAACAAAAGCGAGGCATGATCGTAGGTGATAATGGGTGGCGGCGCTGGAGTGTTGGGCCTGACGATGGCGGACCCCGAGCCAGAGGCGTGCAAGCGCGAGGACGGCCGCCAGCTGGTGCACGATTGGTTGAACGCGGATCCGGGCGCGAGGCTCGTTACCACCACCAAGGACCTTATGGCCCTCGACCTCGCCAACGCCACCAAGCTCATGGGCATCTTCGGTAGCGACCATCTGCCCTACGCCGCCGTCAAGCCCGATCACGTGCCCAGTCTCGCGAACATGACCCTCCAGGCCATCAGGATGCTCCGCAAGAACAAGAACGGCTTCTTCCTCATGGTGAGTGTACGCGCGCGACGTATGTTCGAGGCGCCGAATGCTTTTCTCGTGTCGTGGAATAAATTGCACGTGCCTAGAGCGATCGCTGATTCAGCGTTTGGAATCTTTGATTTGTACAAATTTGCGCCGATTTCCGGGGAACCACACCGGTCGCGCACAATTATTTAGCGGCCGAAATAATCCGTACGATTTACTATTGCCCCGTCCGACATCAAAGGACTTAATTGTCTCGTTTGTCGGCTCATGGCTCTATAATTAAATCGCTGCATCGCTGGTCGGTATCTCACTCCTACACTTGCGCTCTCTATCTATCTATCTATCTATCAATCACTATCTCTATCTCTATCTCTATCTATCTCTATCTCTATCTATATCTATCTCTCCACTTTTGCGATCGTCTATGTGCATCGTCGAATAAACGATTACACGAAAATAATCGATATTTTTCCTTCATTTTTTCATTGCTCAAAATACATTTATTATGACGTTACATTACTTCTCTACGCTAATAGATGCATAATAAGGCATTCCAAGGTGATATTGAAAATCCATATCTTGGCTTACGTGGTTATACATAAACTTCGTGTTTAACCAATCAACTATATAAAGTCTTAATTGCGCATTTACGCTCGTTTATCACGATTTAACGCCGCGTATAATATACTCATAATGCCAATATAATATAAACATTGCCGTGAAAAAGATAGCGATCGAGCGCCAACGCGCGATCTCAGCAATGAGAGATACGTGGATTATTTTTAAACCACGGAAAGGCCGATTTATAATCGACGCGCGAGCTTGCATATCGGCGATTAGCACGTCTGGATTCCAAGCTTTTCCGAGGCGAGATCACGAAGAGCAGCCGTTAATGCAGGACGGACGGTCGAATGGCGACGACACTCGCTACTACGTTGCGCATGTCCACGGGATTCGTTCACCTAGGCGAATGGAAATGCTCTCGGCTACGAAATAAAGTCGTGACGCGGATGTGACGCCAAGGTCAGGGCTACTTATCCATGCAATTTCCAGTACCTAAGGCCAGATAGCCCCGAGGCTCGTCTAATCGTTAGCTCGGCGGCGGCTTCCCATTATTTGCCGCAACACGCGACATAATAACGGACGAAGCGACAGTTTCTCGTATGGCTACCGCTCGCTCACGATCTTTACCGTTGTGCCGACACGAGCGACTGTCCATCTAATATACGATATTCGTTAAAAAGAATTAAAAAGAATTAAAAAGCAATTTGGCAAATTTGCTTAATACTAGAAGACATTGGGTTTGAAAAATTAAAGTATTTGCCAAAGTATTTTATCGCTCCATTATCGACGTTTGGGCTTATTTAATTAACGACCTAAAAATATACGCGCAATGGCTATTTTAAAACGATTAAATTATATAAATTTGAATAATGAGAGACAGAGATATTGAGTTATATTTGCGATTCTGTTGAGCGGAGAATGATCGCTCGGAATATCGCTTGATGTTGAAATTTGAAACAGTGACGTTAAGAGTGCAGATTAATTAAGGCGCTTTACTCCTTTATAATTGCACGATAAATTTCTTTTTTAATACTTATTACTTCAATTGTCATTGGCAGTGTTAAAATATGTATCATTAAAAACGTATTATTATTAATAAACAACGAAATGAAACCCGTAAAATTTTTATTACTCTCTCTATATCTTTATTTATTCGACTACTCACGTAGTCCTACATAAACGCAAACAATTCATTGTAAAAAAGAAAATAATTACTAGCTCCAGGCCACCGATAATTTCAAACGGTTACAATTTCATCGCCAATGTTCATTTATTTTATTTACAGTTATTAACATAATTTCGACAATGTAGTCGTGATGATAGCGTATCATAGCACTCGGATACATTTGGCATCGTGCGAACAAAATTAATTTCATACATTTTATAAACTTATAAACATTCTTCTCGTCATCGTAAATGCTTTTCAGCGCATAAATTTAAGAAATAAAATATTATTTATTTCTTCGATGAGTCATTGAGCACTTTGAGATAGAATTTCATGTTTCTGATCCTGAATCTTGAAAGTCAAAATTATTTTACGTGAATAACGGTATATGTTCTAAATATAAATAAGAATTAACATTCCATACAAATAGATACGAAAAAAACAACATTCACCCACCGTTTTACTAATATTAATATAATTAATTCATCGTGTAAATAAATATGATAAAAAAAAAAAAGTCGGTGATTTTTCGTAAATATATTTTTAATTTGTTAAATTAGTTGTTTGTAAATTGTAAAATTGTTATATTGTTATATTAGTTGCAATTGACTAGAATAGCATTGATTCGAAGATACAGTTGAATATTTTGATCTAAATTAATTGACAACAAAGATTATGGAAAAGCATTATTGTATAATTCACATTAAGCATTTAATAGTTAAATATTTAAAATGAATTGCATTATATAATTGCGAGATATCGATTTTATTGTTTACCATATTTTATGTCATGTATTAAGAGTGAATTTTTTTATATCTAATTATAATCTATTTATCGTTTTAATTGCAATAGTATATAGCAAATTTTTTATCCAATACTGCTTGTATAAATATTTTCAAAGCTTAGTTTGAATTAAAAAAAAAAAAATTATATATATATATATATATATATATAGAGAGAGAGAGAGAGAGAGAGAGAGAGAGAGAGAGAGAGAGAGAGACAGATAGATAGGTAGATAATTATATTATTTGAGTAATCAAAGTAATAATGTTAATAATGCATATTAAATATTGAATTGCGGTATGATTATGATTATCTCATTAGATGTCATTAATTTATTTTATTTTATTTTATTCCTTTGTATTAAGTATCTGGTTATTGTTTTAGCTTATATCGGCAAAACATAAAATATATATTGGGCATGACTGACAACATAATATCGAACAAAATGTTATGATAATAAATTTTACGACCGTTCCGTAATATTATAGTTTATTTTAAAATTTGTCACATCAGATTAAATATGTTTTATTACAAGTATAATGTAAATATTTCTTCTTCACTTTATTATAAATTTTTCAAAGCTTCATATCGTAATGTTTGTCATTAATATAAATCACATAGTAAGGACATAAAAAATATTATCAATTGAATCCTATTTATTTATTACATTAATATTTTAATACTAATATACTATCATTGTTGTTGTTGTTGTTGTTGTTGTTGTTGTTTTTGTTATTGTTGTTGTTGTTGTTTTTGCTATTGCTATTGTTTATTATTATTATTATCATTATCATTATTATCATTGTCATTATTATCATCGTCGTCGTCGTCATCATCATCATCATCATCATCATCATCATCATCATCATCATCATCATCATCATCATCATCATCATCATCATCATCATCATCATCATCATCATCATCATCATCATCATCATCATCATCATCATCATCATCATCATCATCATCATCATCATCATCATTATTATTATTATTATTATTATTATTATTATTATTATTTCGTTTCCAATTTGACTCGTAATCTTCTGCGCAATTTCGTAGCCTACAAGTTCAATTATCGCGTTTGTTATTATTAATTTCTCCTCTACATTCATAAATCATTCGTTATTCTACGAATTCAAATGTCTATAACGACTAATGATTACTCGCAAAGCACAACTAAATATCGATTTTATTAACCTATATAATCACTTTTATTTTAGTGCATTTATGTATAGAGGTTTCGTATGCTAATTAGATACTTTCTAGATTAATTTCATATGCGTCGACACTATTTTTATATTCCAAATGTAAATGCACGTGAAATGCTCCTTACTAATACGAAAATTATGTTCCAATTTGGAATGTCCATTTCATTGGATAGGTAAGTCTCGTGCGAATGTACATTGTTAATGTACGAAAAATTGTCGATTTAACATTTGAAAATCGTGTGCAAGTAATTTTTCTACAATTCATAATTCCTAATGCTCTACATTTCGTAATGCTCTATGCATTTAACATTAACGTATAAATTAGGTCTAACTTTTGCACAAGTTACATAACGTACATTCAAAGCACATATAGAAAAGTCAATATACCGACGTTCAATAATCGTTGTAATATAATGTGACGAGCTAATGGAACAGTAAATGCTTCGCGCGCATCAATTGTTGTAAGACCTCGTCACTCTTATAGAGAAATTATCAACGAATCTGGATGCTCGCAAGAGCGGAGAGTGATATATCCGTCGAGTACATAGGTCACTAAGTGAAAAATTGCGAAAGCCACATAGACAGTTCTCGGGTTAAAAATGATCACATGACCGACGGCAACTAACGCTGTCTCATACAGTAATCGTTGGCGAATTTTATTAAACGCGCTAAAAAGGTCACTTTTTGCTACGCTCTTGTTATACATTTATTATTATTATTATTATTATTATTATTATTATTATACGTTTATTATTATAAAGCAGCAAGCAGGACAATTTATTATGTTTATACATAGCCAATACGTAGAGTATATTATATTTAAATCTGGTCCAACTATTATTCCTCGTTAATTTATTAGTTAGTGTAAGCTTAGTAGAGAATTATTTAATATTTTTCAATATATTAAATATAGAATTTTTAGAATTTTTAGAATTTTTAGAATTTTTAGAATTTTTAGAATTTTCTAGACTAACGAGATAATTTTAGATAGGATAACATTATTTTCTAATATAATAAATGTATTTGTTATTTTTATTGAATAAAGTTTAGCAGTAAAGTGGAGAGAGGTGGTTAAGCTGTTATGAAAAGAGCGATGGGCAATGGGATTTGAGCAAATTGGGTAAGTTTTGGCTCCTTACGAATACATCGGATTGTCCCACAAAGCTCGACTTTTCCGGCAATGAAGGGAAATTTTTGAAATAGAGGAGAGGAGCTAAGCATCGGAGCTAAGCTCGAGTTGTTGAGAGGGCAAAATCCATATAAAACAAAATTAACTTTCATTATTTTTTATTATTCATCGGATGGGCTATTGTCGGTTATGGAAATCGTTGCTTCCCAATTTTCAAACATATAACTAAATAGAATGAAAGGAAAATCGGTTTGACAATTTGAAGAAAAAAAATGGGTAATATAATATTATTTATAAATTTCATATCAAATAAAAACATATTTAATATATATTAATTTCAATTCAAAGCTATAAAATATTAAATATAGTTTTATAAGTTATTAATAAAAATGTTAACGCCCCGTTAAATTATGTTGTTACTTAAATTTATTCTATTAAATCCAACATTTATTTATAATATATATTCAATACTTCAAAATCCTCGTTCATTTACATAATTATCGATTAATATTCAAAATCAACTTTGTATAATAAATTTCTATTACTTAATTTATTTACTCAATGTAAAAATATTTCATTTACTCACTAGCAAATTATTAGCAAATAAATCCTCGGCACTTACAAATATTTATAATATTATTTCATTATAAATTAACGAAATTACTAATCTAATTAAAAATGTAACGATCCTCTCTCTCTCTCTCTCTCTCTCTCTCTCTCTCTCTCTCTGTGCGCGCGCGCGCGCGTGTGTAGATGATGCCTATTTATGTGTGCGTGCACGTACACGCGCAAGTACGCAGTTCGGACATTTTATTTTAGAATTGAATTTATTACTTATACCGTGAATTTTGTATTTTATAATATAAAAAGGAGGAGGAAATATGGACTACATATAAATAGGATTTGTGTTAGATAATTATTTTACATCAATCTTTTTCCTCCGTACTTTGTTTAATCTCCTAATTTTGCAATATTTTGAATAATTGTCGTTAAATATTATAAATTTGGAATGTGCTTATAAAATTTATAAAGAGAAGGTAAAACATTAATGTATCCAATTTGAAAAAGCAACTTTGAGAGATAAATATCGACACGGTTTTTAATTAAAATTAATTAAACATCAATAACAGGATATAAAATATATTTTTTATCGAAAATAGAAAGTCAGTCTTGAAATGAACAGTTTTTATCGAGTATTTTTATTGAAATAAAATTTTTTTGTTTTTATTGAAACTAAAGATAAATTAAAAGAATGAATTTGTCTGGAGTTTGATTTTACGAAGAAGATAGGAAAGTTATGTTTGTATTGATTAATAAAATTACGTAAGATATAATGTATTTTCGAAATTCATCATGAAATGTTAGTCAACTGGTAAACAATGGCTAATCGTTGTTATGTATTACCTAATGGATTTTAATTTTTCTCAAACATCAACCCATCTTCTTCTTCTTCTTCTTCTTCTTCTTCTTCTTCTTCTTCTTCTTCTTCTTTCTCTCTTTCTACAGCTCTCCTCACCAGCACTATATATCAATAAAATCGGTTTTTATAGTGATTGGTAGGAGTAGGGGGTTTGGGCGTGGTCGACTCGAGTTTTATTCATAGCGATCTTCGTTATTATCTTCGAACGAATTATTTAATCGCGACAGCTGAAATAAAATTCATAAATTTCTATATTATCGTTTCTTTAGCAGATAATAGAAGCATATACGCGCTTATTTCTCGCAATTTATCGGAACATAAATCAAAGCAATTTAAATAGTGATATTGTAAAATTTTTTTTCTTTTTTTTTTTACTTTTAATTGGTTTAGCGTTAAAAAAATAATTCGTTGGAATTCAAGTTAACGGACAAGTAAAGTTGATAGATTAGACGTGTAATACGCGATCGTTATATCAGTTAAACGAAAGTAATAACGAAACGTAAGGAACAATAAAGTATTTTTAATAGTTAAAAATATCGAATATACTTCACATTATGCTCGCATAATGAATTTATAAAGTTTTAATTAATTCGATCGCTGGTGGGCTTAAATTAATTTCGGAAGTATAGTTTTGAACACGCTGCATTGGAAGTTTGATAATTAACGTGGCGGCTCGGCGCAACAATTTGCATTGAAGAAAGCAGGAGAGTGCAGAAGGAACGGGCAGATGGTTTAACGTTCGGCTATATTATTCTCTTCGCAGGTCGAGGGTGGTAAAATCGATTTGGCTCATCATCAGAATTTAGCGCGGATGGCGCTACGCGAGGTATCGGAGCTCGACGACGCCGTATCAACGGCCATGCAGAACGTCAACCTCGACGAGACTCTGATAATCGTTACCGCGGACCACTCGCATGCGTTCACGATGAACGGCTACCCGGAGCGCGGCAATGACATCCTCGGCCTCACCCATAACTTCGGCAGCCTTCAGAATTACGAAACACTGAGCTACGCCAATGGGCCCTCCTTTTATTACCACCGTAACAACGGATCAGGAGTTAACGACACTTGGCGTAATCTCGAGGTGGAAAACAGCAGGACCGATCCATTCTACAGGCACTTTGCCGCGAGGTACATCAAGGACGAGACCCACGGCGGAGAGGACGTCGGCGTTTACGCAATCGGTAAATTTGCCTTTTCCACTCATTGTTGTTTTTTTTTTCTTCTTTTTTGTCTTTTTCACGGAACATGCCACGCTACATTAATAATCGATCTGGAGCCACACAATAGATCCCCATGCGTCCCCATTTTAAATTCGTCGCTTGATCGTCGCTTGATCGTCGCTTGATCGTCGCTTGATCGTCGCTTGATCGTCGCTTGATCGTCGCTTGATCGTCGCTTGATCGTCGCTTGATCGTCGCTTGATCGTCGCTTGATCGTCGCTTGATCGTCGCTTGATCGTCGCTTGATCGTCGCTTGATCGTCGCTTGATCGTCGCTTGATCGTCGATCGTCGTTGCCTTTTCCACTCATTGTTGTTTTTTTTTTCTTCTTTTTTGTCTTTTTCACGGAACATGCCACGCTACATTAATAATCGATCTGGAGCCACACAATAGATCCCCATGCGTCCCCATTTTAAATTCGTCGCTTGATCGTCGCTTGATCGTCGTTTGATCGTCGCTTGATCGTCGCAGTTATATTTCGCCAATTACAAATGGTCGGTCGAGCGATGTAAAAATCAAGGCGTCTCGCGGCGTCGCTCTAGCAACTATCGGAGCGATAAGAGCCGCAATGAGGAAAAGCACGCTGATTACCAATAATTGAAAGTACCGTGTTTATGTAAGGTCGGCCCGTTGGCCGAGTCGGAGAAAGGGAATTTAGGCAGCTATGGTCGGACGGTCGGACCCGTTAGCGGAGGAAGCGCCCGGGCATCAATTACAATTACACGAGTTTCAAAATTGCCCTTCGCTCATGACATTTACCAATGCAATTAGGGATGATCGAGCGCGCCCGCACTCGCGCACCACAATGAATATGCTGGATTACTTTGTTTACTTCCAGGGCCGTATTCGCACCTCTTCCGCAGCACCTTCGAGCAGAACTACATCGCTCACGTGATAGCTTACGCTGCCTGCTTCAAGGATTGGCCCTCGCACTGCGACCAAGACTACAACCGCTACTTCTACGAGGTATCGTCGCAGAGTCGCAGCGCCTCGGACCTGGCCGTCGTGAGCGTCGCGCTCTTGGTCCTCGGACTCCTGGCGCACCTCTCCCGCTAATCACTAACTAGCCTTATGTTGTTGATTCACGCAGGTGGAAAACAGCTAGGCGGAGGTCGGAGGTAACACTCGTCGGACACAACTCCCTCCCCCACGAAGCCTGGAGAACTCCTAGACGTCGGCCACCTTGCAGTGCGTCCCTCATCCTTTTCCCTCCCCGGCTCCGCCCCTGTCGATGCCACTCCCCTCCCGGCTCCGCCGCTTCAACCACACGCGCACACACACACACACACACACACACACACACACACACACACACACACACACGCACACACGCACACACACCTTACAACATTCACAATCTTACTCCCTCACTCGATCAATCCATCTACCTATCCAACAACCTACCTATCTATCTACATGTCTGTCTGTCTATTTCGATCTATCTGTCTCTGTCTCTCGTCAATCTCGCCACTTTTGCGCATTGCACAGGTGTCGTGTCTTATAATGCAGGTGCCTATTATCCGGGCGAGAGTCACGTCGGATCACGCAAGAGTCACGAAGCCAAGCCGAGTTACGAATCGCCCGTCCTTTTCCTGTTGATCGCAGGTATTCGGCGGTCCAGGCGTACCGAGGTCTGATCTAAAGACGCCGAGCCGCGCAGCTTTCGAGCTTTTCACAAGTCAATGGTGCTTTATTCAGCTCGATAATTCGCGATCACTGTTCATTGATGCACACTCATTTTAATAAAGGATCCTTACCGCAGCCGAAAATCGTCATACATTTTCAAAAGCCACAACGATACAAGATTCTCCCTCTCATATCTCTCATAAATCGCCGTCCTGTTAAACTTTAAGAATTGTGAGTTACATCTTGTTTGTCTCAAGATCTTACTTTTGCTCCACACTCTCTCGCTACATCCGCTTGCTCGCTCACTCTCTCACTCTCTATCCATCCATCTATCTATCTATCTATCTATCTATCTGTCATCTTTTTTCTTTTTGCGTAGAATAAAATATTTTCTTTTAACACGGTAAATTTTAATCTTGCTTGGTTAAATATTTCTCATTTGATTTTATTTTTTATAAATATACTTTGAGTGTCAAACAATCTTTATTACGAACGATCTAGAAATAAAACTGATTTTTTCACTAAAAAAATACATATAATTTTCAAATGCATTTTCGTATCCTCTGAGATAAATATACACAAAAACGTTATATATATATATATATATATATATATATATATATTTATGCATAAATATCGATTTATAACTTCCAATCGACAGACGATTCTTTCTTTGATATTTTCAATAATGGATATCTTGTTATTTTATTGAGATAAAATAAGAGATTTTTATGGAATATTATTGTAAAAGTTTTTAATGAAAAACTTGTTACTTTTATCGCATTTATGGTATTACATATTTATAGAAATACGATATGTTCCTTAAGAAATATTTTATTTTATAATATAAATATTATATGATTTATTCATAAATACCTCGATATAAATTTGAAGGAAGAAACGTATATTTTTCATCAAATAGTTTTATGTTTGAAAATAATAATCAAATAAAAACAAACGAATTGCATCCGATTGCAACGCCTACACATTACATTTCGCCGAGTAATTATAACATTCGGAATAAATATTTGGTATTCATTTTCAGACAAAATATTTATCCATCCACCGTTTCTTGAATATTATAATTTTCTCTTTCAAACACATGTACAGTATGGACAATTTTTTATCACACGAAAGAAAAAAAATAGTTTATTATTATTATATTTATACCTCGAACAGTATTTTCCTATCCGTACGGTGCCTAAAGTAAAGAGAACAATATTATATATTTATGTAATTTATAAATCTTCGACACAGCAGTGTAAATTTTTTGTAATATATCAAACGAATTATTGAAATTCGTATTTTCACGTTTATTGAACCACAATGTATGGTAATATGAATAGCTGTTGACATTGTAAATAAAAAGATAACGTTTTATTTGAAATAAATTAAAAATTTATCGTTTCAATTTAATCCAATAATATTATAATTTAAGATAAGATTAATAACATAAGTAAAACATTAGTTAAAAATATTTCTGGTTTATTGATTTTTTTAATTTTCAAAATACGAAAGATTTATTATAATAGACTTATTCAATTTTTGCGTTAAAATTGGCGAAAATTATATATCGAAAATGCTTACATTTTGTGTAATAACAATTGTCTTTGGTAATATAATAAAGCTGTAATACAAATTTCCTCGTAGATGAACTTCAAATAATCGTATATAAAATTTATATATTTAATTCTTACATATTTGACTATATTAGTATTACTATTGTATTTTTAAAAAATTATGCAATTATAAAAATAATTAAACAAAGTATTTGTTCATTTGCATCTATTCATTATTCATTATACTACGAGATGATATATTCACATGCGAATGTTTATTTATCAAATGAATGCACAAAAATTTGTATTTGCATTTATCATAATTAAAGTATTGATTTTGTTAAATGTGAATGTATTATTTTGTCCTAATAAATTCAAAACTTTTTATTAAACCATATTCTAATATTCATTTTATGATATTATTTTCGTTCAAGTTTCAACAATTTCAAAATCAATTAATGTTTCCATATATCGCTTAATATCAATATATTAATATGTAATACTTAGTTTAACACATATATAGAAGAATAAAATATGCAAAGAAATAGCAGTATCGTTTAATTGAAGTTCAATAATGTTAATGTTAAATTAAAAATAATTAATTTGAAAAATAAAGATTCCTTTTTGCAATATTTCTTAGTCCAAGAAGTCGTATTTATATTGAGATTTAATGTAATAAAAAAGATTAAATAGAGTGTAATTATTAAGATTAAAATTTTTCATTAAATGTTGATTTTTTTGCAATAATGATTTGTCTGCAAATATTTGGTTATAAATGTACATAGTATCTAATAAAATATATGAAATTTGTATTTTATAATATTTGTTTGTGTATGTATGTGTGCGCGTGCGTGCGTTTTCGCGTGCGTTTTCGCGTGCGTGCGTGCGTGCGTGCGTGTGTGTATATATGGATTACGAGGCAAATCTAGTTCCTTGGAGAAAGGCATGAAAATATGGAAGAAAATCTGAAAATTTGTATATGATTGAGGTACGGTTGAATTTAACGGAAGAAAGTTCGGTTCGTTGAAAGTATATCAATAATATATATTTAATTTTTTTATTGTATCAGACTTTTACATATAATGTGAGGATAAAAGAAGCAAAATTATTCTTTTGGATAATTTTATGTAATATAATGTTTAAAAATAACGTTAATAGTATAGAATTAGTTTGTCAATGTTCCTTCTTATAAGAAGAAATATATTGTTTTACAATACTATGTTATATACATTAAAACAAAAATTTTAATAAAAAGATTTCTTATTGAATTTATTCATATCTTTATTTACACTAATGATTATATTTCATTTTGTGTGATTAAAAAAACATTTTTAATGAATGTATATGACATTTGTGATTTAATATATATATATATATATATATATAGTGCGCGCGCGCGCGCGCGCGTGTGTGTGTGTGTGTATGTATACATATATGTATGTATATTTAGAAAAATGCAGAAAAATGAAAATACTTAATTTATAAGTATGTAAATTTATACAGATTTTACGACCTATTAATTAAGTAATTTTCCTTTCTATAGTCACGAGAAATATATGCTCAAAAGCACACAATAAATGTAAGCGAATTATTAATGGATTTTTGTTTACAATCGATTTGTAGGTTTAACTATTTCATGATCGTCATCGACTTGAACCATCGTATTCTAATTAATATTAATACATTATAGTTAAGTAAACGTTTACGTAAACATCGTTCAATAATTCAATGTTTAAATGCAAATTAATTCAAAATTAGCCGAGAAACGTGACTATCTATTTCTTTGAGATACCTAGGCGCTCAGAAAATAAGTTAAAAATACATTTGTTCATCAATATCGTTAAGACTTGTACAAGATTTTTATTAAAATGACGTGATAACATTTATCTTTTGAATGTTGTAATACAAGAATAACGTCAATTGCCACGAGATTGTGCAATTAGAATAATCCAAGCTTTGAGCTGGTTTCTTTTTTTTTTTTTTTTTTTGCTATTTTCCGTTTTAAATATTTAAAGCTCTTTAAAAGTATTAAATGTACGGTAATGGAAATTGCTTAACTTAATGAACAAGTAAATTTGATCCCAACATTTAATAATTGTAGCTATTCAGCTCTACCGGATGTTCACTTGCTTAACAATAACATCGGCGTGATAAATGGATGCGCACGAAAATATCACCAGACGTACGTGAAAGCTACGGAGGGACTCGGTCGAGCAGGCGCAGACAAAAAGAGACAAAATCAAAGCAAAAGTCATCGTATCGTGTAAATCGTGTGTTCTCGCAGTTCTGGATAATCGCAATCACTCTGGTAATCTTCCTTCGTTTCACTGTTTTGTTTGTTTGTTTGTTTGTTTGTTTTGTTTTTTTGTTTTGTGTTTGTTTGTTTGTTTGTTTGTTTGTTTGTTTGTTTGTTTGTTTGTTTGTTTGTTTGTTTGTTTTTTTTGTTTTGTTTTTTTGTTTTGTTTTTTTGTTTTGTTTTGTTTTTTTTTTTTTTTTGCAATCGCTAATCCACGATGAAACTTGTAAAGCAAATTCTCGGTATTATGGAAATACATCATTAAATTGATCATTATCAATTGAATTCAAAAGCAATATCGTATTTGCCTTCTTACGACTCCCCGTAATCGATTATTCCAATTAGACTTGAGTAACGTTAACAAATGACGTTTCGGCGATGTCGGACTCTTGGGTCATCTCTTGTGCTAAGTATTGCAATTAACGGGATGCTGCGGGAGTGCTGCGGGAGTGCCGCGCCAGTTTTCAAATAGATGTCGTTATTAGCGAGTACTGGAGGTAACCCTGACCACGCCGACGTAGTAATTCTTGTAGATGAGAGGCGCTACGTCGTCGCTGACAAAGTTCCGCTCGGGCCTGAGCGAGGCAAACGGATTCCGTCGGGGCTCCAGCTCAATCTCAACCTCCCGCAGCTCGCGTATACGCTCGAGGTCAAGGGGCAATTCAACTTGCGTGTACGAGGTCACAATGATCGGTACTCCGTGGTCGCAGCATTTCTCAATTGTCCTAGGCCAAGTATCCTAATAAGAGATGGCACGATTATATTATTACTTTCTTTTATTCGAAAGAGCGATTATTAGTCCCGTCAATACGGCAAATTCATTATCTAATCGACTCTCTTGGTGGCATTCTGGCAGTGGTCCATTTTTATTATTACCGATTGCCGATCTGAGCGGCAATGGCCGATTAGCCCCCGAGCTAATTATATAATGTTAATTGTAAAAAGACGAGAGATGCGTATATTATGCTTGATTTTCCTTTGACTAAAAATAAATGAGGCGATAAGTAGAGCTTTAAACCTTTATAAATTTATACGTATATATATATATATATATATATATATATATATATTTATATATTTACTCGTCAAATCGAGTTTAATTATAAATCTCAGTATACGTAAAGTCGACCATTGACTATTTATTGCTGATATTCAGTAATTCAATATTATATGAAAACTTGCTGAACCTCGATAATTGCATAAATAATACAATCGTGCATTCATCGATATAACAATTAGACTGCGTGCCAACGCATTAGCTAATATTGTTGTAAAAATTGTCGAATCAAAAAAATATGAATAGATATACGTAACTGTAAAATGAAAATTTATTTAACCGTATCGAATGGCTTTATTGTGTTATCAAGATTATATATTATTACTAGCCATATGCCATTATAGTAATATTTAATTTGTTCTATTAATGTAAATTTCAGTTCGTTCACGATTGGATATAATAAATTTTTTATGTATTATTTCTATAATGTGACAATAACACAAGTTATTAAATTATCTCATTATTGTATTATGATATTAAATTATAATATTACGCAAACGGAAAGCTTAGACCAAAAACAATTGGACTCTATACAAAAGCCACTGTTACTCATTAAATATTAATTATCGCCAAATATGGTTTCAAATTTCAAAAGTAAATTAAAAAATATAAATTTGTAGATATAATTAATTTTTATCAAGTAACAAAATCCATATGGGTTAGTTTAGTTTACAAATGGCTATAAATGACGTTTAAAAGATGTCAAACGTTATTATTTATATTTAGTAATTTGATTTATGTATGTTTTTAACTTAATCCAATCAATGTCTTAAGCTTTGTTAATACATAATCATTACAATCTTTTAAATTACTACCTTGTCAAAATATTTTAAAGATTAATTTTACAAATCAAAAGTATTAACAAGATTAAAAATTAAATAAATTGATATATTTTGGCGAATTTTAGCGAAATGAACAATAATATTATTGAGTCGATTGTTTTTATAATACTTTGGCGTGATGTAGCGTCGTTAATGGATGAAAATTAAAAAGATATATATAAAAATAAAAAAATAAAAAAAAAAAAGCACCCCCTCCTCACTTTTTCGCTTCCCATACCGGGAATCGAACCCGAGCCTCCTGGGTGAAAGCCAGGTATCCTAGCCACTAGACCATATGGGATTTGTATCATTTTTGATCATTTGACAATACTTCACCGCTTAGTCCTATTATTCTTAATTTAAAATAATTTTTTTATTTTTAACATAATATTGAAAGGAAATGGTTGATTAAGCTTAACCGGTATAAATTTTTCAATTCTTTAATCATTCATTGTAATAGCTGTAGATGTATGAAATATCGTATACAAAATTATGTACAAATTATTATAAACACTTGCAAAATACGATTATTTGACAATTGCTTATGCAATAATTATAATTATAATTATTTAAATTAGAAAATTGATTATGAAGAAATTTATTTACTTTATGTAGTAAGCAAAATTTAGGATAAAACGTAGGCATTAATATATCGACTTTTTAGTTAGAAATTTAGTAATAATCTATAGCATTAATCGATGTACATGTTCTACGTGTCTTTTTTCTTTCTTACTAACAATTACTTTCATCCAAGTTTTAATAAAGTATTATATAAAGTATTTATAATAAGATATTTTATAAATAAAATTCGAAAGAGTTACACTTGCCGTTTAAAGCTACTTTTACCATTTGTCTATTTATAATAATAAAAACAAAAATAAAATAGCTCTACCGTTTTCATCGAAGTCCTCAAATAAAAATATTTCATTCTATAACATTGCAATTAATGTAGACTTTGATGGAGTAAATTTTTGTAGATTTAATTTAAGCTTTTTTGCTTGCGCATTCAAAAGAAATATTCATTTAAATTGACGAAAGTTTTATTCAGCTATAATATCGCATATAACATGGATTATTGCATGAATATTTCCGATAATCGAATTGGAAAGCTTCGATTTTCCGTCCATTTTATATAAACGAAGGTTGACAATCTTGCGATCGACGTTAAATCGATTGCCGTTTATTTATTTCCCCTTTAAAAATAGTTTCTTAATTATCACATTTGCTTATGCAAAGAAATTTACATAATGTTAACACAAAGACTCATTCTTTTTCTTTAATCACAATATACGTGATCGCGTATATATAAACAATACATTTGTTTATTGTAATTTCCTTAAAACTCTTTACTACTGCTGAATTAATCGCCAATGTTATCAATGCAAGCACACAATGCACGTCACCAGAATGAACGTGGTTGGCCACTTTATCACGCAGCCAAAATGGAGATGATACCTGATTTGCGTAACCGGTTGTGCGATACAATCCTGGATTGAAGAGACACACGAGGTCGGGCACGTCGTCGCTCACTACCTCATGATAAAATTCACCGCAGTGGAAGACGACGTCGAGTGTTCTGCCCGATTTTCGACAGCCGCCGCACAATGGAGGCTTCTCGAGGATGGCGGCCAGGTTACTCGGTACCCGCAGTTCCGGACCGTAGAGCTCCAGCTTGAGGCTGCGGAGGTGCGGCAGCAGGTGCAAAAACAGCTTCTCCCATAGCGTGAGATTTGCGCACTCGAACTGTAGCTCCGCACCGATTATGTGGATCCTCAAGGTCTTCAACCTCTGAGCAATCACCTTAGCCTTAGTCTCAATTATTAACTATTAATAAACCCCTCCCCCACCCACCCACCCCCTTTGTATCCGACTACCGTAACCAATTGTTGCAAGCCTCGTTAATTGGGATGAATAATTTTTAGGGTAAGCTTGTGGGTAAGAAAGAAAAAAATTCAACGAGCAGATAATACACTGATAAATCAATTATGGGAAAGGTTATAACGGCTTTTTTCGCTTGTCATATTACTGGCGCGAAGCTTTTCTTTAAATGGAAATTGCGACTCTTCGTCGCTTAACTGGCAAAACAAAGAAAAGAAGAAAATTGCTCGGTCATACTCACCGTCCACGAGGCATATCCTGGCAAATTGCCCATGACGAACAGAGCTGTAAGAGGTGGAGTGGCGGCCTGTGAAAGGGCTGCGTACGAGGTGCAGTCGATCCTCTCGTAATCATCCCTCTGGAAAATCAGCCTAACGAGTCGATCGAAATTCTCGGGTAGTTGAAGAACTGGAAATGCCGGGAGCTCGGGTGCGACGAAGCCGCTCGCCCTCTCCGTCTCGAGGATGCACCCAAGGATGCGGAACTGCGCGCAGTCCTGCTCGTGGCCGACCGCGTGCTCACCCGCGCAGTGGTACACGACAAGGCATCCGGGGCAACGCTCGAGGCACTCTGTTTTCCGGCACACGCGACACACCTTCGGATAAAGCAGGATCTCGCGCTCCCGCGGCTCGAGGTCGCGTGCCAGCGCCGTCGCGGCGGCGCGCACCAGCTCCACGCGGAGACGACGGTAACCGGGGCCATCGAGGCTCCCGGCTGTCGTCGAATGTCCATTACCGAGCTGTGCAAGAGCATTGCAGAGGATGATGTGGGATTCAGCGTCTTCAAGGCGATGCTCCGGCGAGCAGTAGGCGAGCATGTGGCAGCCCTCGCACGGGAATTCGGGCTCAGCGCACAGCCTCGAGCAGAAGTAGCAGAGGCCGCTGACAAAGTAGGCGCGTGGACGGATGTCCAACTGAAGTTCCGCGACATCGAGCTCGGAGTCCTCGTTGCGGTAAGGCGGCAGACAGAGGCGGTCGGTTATGAGGATTAATTTTGATTTTTCGCCATTCTCGGCATCCTCGTTTACCAGGATGCTGTGCTCTATCGAGGACGCATTAAGGACGCTCCGATTCGGTCTCGATTTTCGCTTTGATTTTCTCCTCATTCTCGCGCTCGTAATATAGATCTTTTTGACCGGGCCGATGGTATTGGTGGGTCGGAAAATTACTCGTTAAAGGACAAAAAAGAAGGAGAGCTCCCAGTTTGTATAAAGTTACTTTTGTACTTTGATGATAAACCAGTTAGGAAGGATAATCGAAGGATAATTGCTAATTGGATATGCAATAAACCGATTGTTTTGAAATATTTTTATTTTAATATGGCCATCCTTAAATAATAACATTGAGAGAATAATTTTGAGAGTGAATTCGTACTTTTATACTGTCGATTATGTTTTAATATATTTTAAAAAAAAAAAATCTCATCTTCTTTCATTGCTTATATTCATTACACGTCGTCTTATTAAATCCCATTAAATTTATAATACATGAAATTCATTACGCAAGATATATATTTATTTTTAATGGGAATTTATACCGCATGAAATTATATTCATAATAAGCATCTGCGATAGAGATAAGAAATAGAGATAATTGTGAAAAGGCAAAGATTTTTTTTATAATCGACTTTTATATTCTTGTTTTAGTAGAATAGTAATTCGGCACGAAGATAGGAAATTGAAATGGAACAAAGGCATGTGCATGAAAACAAAAGAAAAATTAGAATAAGAATAACATAGCAAAAAAAAAAAAAAAAAAAAAAAAAAAAAAAAAAAAATAGACAAAACATTACATTAAGAAAGATGCGATAATAAGTAAAAATTAAAGCAGCGTCCCGTATTTGTATCTAAAAATTCATTCTATTTATTCTGATGATGGAACGTGTATCATTAAATGGACAATTGTATCCCATTTTCCCATTTCATAAAATGTGCGATTCTAAGAATTGTGTACATTATAATATTATTAAAAAAAAAATAATTACCGTTTTCGTTTGTTTAATAACTACTGTTATTGAGTCATGTGGTGTATTTGCTAATGTTGATATAATTTATACATAATATTTATAATTTCTCGAGTAAAATAAGGATAATATTTATAGCCAATCACTTTTAATAATTATGAACGAACTATAAAAATTACACTCTGCCACTTAAATGTATATATTGGCACTATATATTTTAAAAATCGCAAAAATTCCCCCACCGCAACAGCAACTAGCAATTACTGTTATAATTAATTATAAAGAATGCTAGCACTTATTAGCAATGCATTAGTAGCAAACGAACAATCCACCGTAACTTAAATTACGCCCATTTCCAAATACTCAACGAAAGGCGCCATTTCTTTTATATTTCTTTTGCAAACCATCAGCTTCGTGCACGCATGAATCGTTAACGCGAGCAATCGCAGCTGTAAACGCGGGCACATACGTTATCGTACGCAAACAGTTTCACGAGTGCCGAAGCCTCGGTCCCGTCGTCCGTGTCGCTTTGCCAGAGGAATGCGATGCACCGGGAGCTTGGCAAGCTGGCAAGTTGATCGGAGTCGTGAAAAGAGAAGTCCATTCTATAATCGGTAGTCGGACGAGGAGATCGGACTCGGCGGTTAGTATTTTGGGACAGCCAATTGTGTCCTTTTTCTTTACTTTTTCTTTCAGTTCACCCTTGATTGTGGATTTACGTCAAGCAGGGGCGAGGAAGCATCCTGACCCAATAAAAACGTCGGACTAGCGCGACAATTATCAATTAGTATTGGCTGTCCGTTCGCAATAAGATTCGCTCGATACGTATATCGATTAATGTCTCGTCTTATTGTTTAGTTTGTAACGGACTTTGAAGTATTAGAGGAATATCTATTTCATTGCGAAAATTAGAACGGATAAAACAAGATTGAAATATTCTATCAATAAGTATTTTTGGCAGAATTGTGAGTAAGCCAATAATTAATATTTATTTTAACAATTACCTATGATTTTACTTTGTATTTTATTTATAAAATGATCGCTACTATTCAATTTTTTATTACTATTCAAGTCTTTAATATTGTTTTCTGTCTGTGAAGTATGCGTTTGTTTGGCTGTCGCTTCAATTACACAGTAACTTTCTTGAAGTCTGATGTGACGCTAATTCACCTGCGTGCCAACTTACCTACTTTTACTGACAATACGTGTGATATTAATTCTCTCAGATCGTTAGACACACACATGCGCCATTGGACTTTATTTTAAGTTTTGTCATAACCGATTATTCATTGTGAATAAAAATAAAATATATTTTTTGAAAATTAATTGCCGAGATCTACGTTCAATCTTTGATAAAAATTAATTATTAATATTTAATAGATAATAGATAGTTTAAGAATACTGAATATTCTTGTAGCCGAAGAAAAATTAAAATTACACTCAAATACAATTATATTTCATGCATTTGTTATAAAATAAAATTATAATAAATATTATGAGATAATGACGATAATGATATAAAATGAATTTATAGTAATATAAAATAATATTATCAAATATAAAATGAAATTTATTCAGAAATTTTTTTTTTTTTTTTTTTTTTTTTTTTTTTTTCATCGACAATACATCGAATTTATCAGCATGTAAAATCTTAATATGTTAAGAAAATCCATACTAAAGCATATTAGGAAAACTCTTGCGCGTAAAGAATTTTCAATGACATAATATGAAAACTATTTGTAGATAAATGTTTATTTAAATGAGATATAATACTGTTTCTAACATTGTAGAATATATTAATGGTTATACAATGCATGCTAATTTAATAATTTTTCAATCCTCAATATTTTACTTTAATTATCTTAGATTATTTCGTTCTTTATTTGTAAGCTTCGGTAAAAGATCATTTTAAACTTCGGTTTAAAAACATTATTATTAATAATTTCAGTATTCATTGTAAAATTGAACAGATCTATTAACAATCATCGTTTTTAGTATTTTCAATTGATGAATAGAATCTCGGATGAATGAATTTTGAAATCTTAGCGAAATGTCTTCAGCCAAAATAGGTTAAAAAAAAATACTGTAATGTAAATTTTCTTTTTCTTATTACCAAAAACCACAATTTCAAGGTACTTTAAGTTAAAGTGATATTTAATTCAATACATAATCACTGCTAGAATATAATAATCCATATAAAATAAATACTTTCTTAATTAAGGATTAAAAATTTAGTATCAGTATTAAAAAAAAAAATCGTAAAATCGTAAAATCATAAATTCAATTATATTATTCGTACTTTTGTATTAAAATATTAATAATTGTATTTTATTATTGTTCGATATAATAATTGGTTCGATCTAACAAAATTTTATTTCAATATATGGAGAATATATTAAACATATAATATCTATGGAATATATATCAAACGAGATGTATATATAGTTGTTACATCAGAATTAATTAGAAAAATAAAATAAAAATTTATATTAACGATGCCCGAACAATATTCACATTTTCATTCGTTATATTGAAATAAAAGTTTTACCACAGTCGGCTGGCATTCAGGAATGCTTTTTTTTTTTTTTTTTTTTTTTTTTTTAATATCCTTTATTGTACTACTTTTAATACAATATTTCATTATAACTTATAAATTATAAAATAAATTAATAATCGATTCATTAAAAAAAAAAAAAAAAAATTAATTTTCATTTTTAGTCAAGTGAATCATTGTTTATAAATATAGTCCATTAAGTGTTTCCGAAATTTATAATGTTATAATAATTCATTTTGGCACATACATTAACAATGAAAATAGCATAACTGATTTACTCGCATTAGAGTCGAACACTGGATTTGAAAAATGTTTTTATTATATGATTTATATAGCAAACGCTATATAGGATTCTTTAGCCATATTTTGCATATTTAATTTACACTTATCGATTAAGCTGTATTAGTAATAAATTATTAGACTAATTGTACAGTAATTTAATAACTAGATAGGAAAAGAAAATTTATCGTGACATCATTGTTCGATGTTATACAATGTTTTATCATAAAGCTATTTCATATAATCAGAAAAAGTTTAAAAATGTTTCAACACATTAAGTTCTTGAACATCTATGAGAAATATACAAAAGTTATTAAATACAATTAAATATGTGGGTAAGAAAATATTTATAAATAGCAAGGAATTATTTCATATAAATATAGAAAATTCATGTAATTTTTGTCCGCAGTCTTATATCAAATGTTCTTATCTTAATTTATTATACTTTTTTTTTTTTTTAACGAATACGCTTTATAAATTAATCGGAAATTTGTTGTATTTGTGGTGTTCGATGAAATTAAAAAATTTCTTTATAAACGTACAAAATAATTCTCAGAATACAATAATGCGAATGTGTGATCGGTGTATAAAGTTTAAACTATAGCTATAATCGGTTTAAACAATAAAAAGACAGTTTGAAAATAATATATGTTTATTCTTTTTTTCGTTTTTTTTTTTTTTTTTTTATACGATAATTTATCAAGCTATAAAAATCAACGTAAAACCACGAAGAAATAGATAAACTAGTATTAGCGACAGGCGGAATGGTCTTTAAATTCAATACCGTCTTCTTAGATTTAAATGTGAGTCAATCGGAGTTAAGTTAAGAGTGAAGTTGTTGAAGAAACTATAAACTAAAAACTATTAAGCCTTTCATACTGATAATATATACAAGTGCTCGATTCAATGATTATTACGATGGTAAGAAAATGGTGATTTGTATCGTGCGCACATTCCCACGGACGATGAACAGAGGTTAGAATTTCATGATTTTATACCTTGAGAATAGTTAATAAAATATATTATAAAGATTATTATTCATTTACATGGATGGCATAAGCAGCTATATAATTGCAATATAATGCCTTAACATTAAATTCATCGAGTAAATTCATTTAATATTAAATTTAATACTCGTTGTGCGTTTGTTGTGTAATATTTGCCATTGATAAATTGACAATTAATATTAATGTTCTTGAATCATCGGGAGCTTTGGCTTTATATTTTTGCTTGCTGATCCCCTAGATCGTGCAATACAATTGTACAAATTAATGCCAATTATTCCTTAACTTTAATCAACAATCTAGCAATCATTTTTAATGTCAAATATCAAAGACTTAATTGTTTATAAAGTTTTTTTTTATTTATTGCTTCTAATCATTACCAAAGCTAAATGTTATTCACAGACGTATGTGCGACAATATAATATCTCTCTTATCAATGCATAAAGCATTTATATTATGGTTTGTCGAAAGTCGACACTTACTTTTCACCGATAACAGTTGCTGTCCATGCACATAAAGCACGGAAAATTTAAATTCTTTAGAGCAATTCAATTGCAATTCGTATTAACTAATCGTAATTTATCGTAGATAATGAATGTACACGCACGCACGCACGCACACAATGAAACGCGTTTATTTAAAGAGATAAATATTCTATGCTGGCCAGGCTATTTTATTTCTTAGGAATACAAATTATGGCATATGGCATATGGCAATAATATTAATGTAGAAGAAGAGGGGAAAAAACGGAGGTTCAACGACGAATCTCCGTAATAGCGAATAATTTATTATAAATAATTTCAATCGATAATATTTACTTTATCGTAGCGTTTAGATTAAAATATTACATTAATTGTTATCTTAAACGTTACAATACTCTCCAATATTAAAATGCCCAATGATAATTTTTGCAACCTAAATGTATATGTCTATGAGGGGTAAGAAGAAAATATATTAGCAAACAATAGCTAATATTATGTGGGGATATATTATATCGTGGGGATTCGTCGTGTTGGACGTTCACATGACGGCTGCTTTATTACGTGAAACAGCAAATTTAACGGAAAATTAAACATTCGCTTTGCCTAATACAGATATATTTTTAAAATCCTACGATTGGCCGGCCATGCGGCATTTAAAGCCAAAACAATATCTCCTCGCTTTATCATTGCATTATTATCCATCGAGCGTAAGTATCTCACTCGACAGCCTCCTTTACGAATAAAATCTTTCGATCCAACAGCCAAGTGCAGCAGTTTATTTAATGCGAAATTCGTGCGGCCGATATTTTGCCATCGTAATACTGCTCACCCCAAAAACATGCTAAAATCGTAGGAACGCGACGGCAGCAACATTACTCGTACACACGTAACTCGATGCAAAAGTTCTTTGGACGTGAGTAAGAGCTCACCTATCCGTCTTAATCGCACATGCCATTCAATGTCCACAATCGGCCGCAAATACACATTCGAAGAGGAGGCATTGGGCACGCGGGCTTACTTGCGCGCGCTCGCGACTTCTTTACTCTCACTCAAAATCGCGCCTACAGCACCGCGAGTCGTCGAGTCCGCTTTTGATAAAGAAAGATAGATGCGCGTTAGCAGCAGCAGCAGCAGCAGCAGCAGCAGCAGCAGCAGCAGCAGCAGCAGCAGCAGCAGCAGCAGCAGCAGCAGCAGCAGCAGCAGCAGCAGCAGCAGCAGCAGCAGCAACGGCGGCGGCGGCGGTGGCGGCGGCGGCAGCAGCGGCAGCGGCAGCGGCAGCGGCAGCGGCAGCGGCAGCGGTGAATATCTACGTGGTGCCACGAGTTCAAGTTATTGCTGCTTCGCGTAGGCCAAGTTTGCGATGCAATGTGCCGCGTTGAAATTAGGGAGGAGAGCTCGATATTGACATGATGGAGGCAGTCTTGTAAGCTTCGAGGTGGCAAGTCGTACGGTGAGTAGCCAAAAGTCAGCTCTCGGGTCGTCTGCTCGAAAGTCGAGTGAGAGAGAGAGAGAGAGAGAGAGATCTGCATGCACAGTGTGAATCGAGAGGTGCGCGCGCGCACAAACACAGGCCCAGACCCAAACAAGTAAATACTGTTGCACGGTTATCGTTATCGCTTCGCGGATGATGATTGCGGGTGGGAGGGGGTAGGGGATAGGGATGGTAGATGATCGAGGTGAGTTTGGCTCGCGACATTAATTTTCATAATGCTCTCGTGAATTTGGATTGTGTCAGAGGCTAATTGGAACGATATTAGTTTCAATAGCCTAACGGCAATGCATCGATCGCCTTGTTTGTCATTGTAAATTACGTTTTGGTTTACGTTTGGCTTGTGTGCTCGTGTTATACGGAAAGTGATCTCGTCCATTCGATAATGATATTATTTGATCTTAAGAAATTCATAACCTCCAAAGAGAAGCTTTTTTATTTGAAATTTAATGGATATACAAATAAAAGGGATCTATGAATCATCTTCTATATGCTGGAAAATAATCGACATTCAAGGTTAATAGGTAGCTAGAACGTTAAATTGTAGTACGAATGCTTCACGCAACTGTCATTGCCAAAAATTGCTGCAAACGCTGTTTTTAATGTCTCTCTCTCTCTCTCTCTCTCTCTCTCTCTGTTACCTACTTGAACCTATAGGTATTACGGTATACACGCATGTGGGCAGACAGAACAGCTAGACGTACCTACTGACAGGCGAAATACGCACGCACACTCTATCGTTCTTTGTTTATTTTATCGGGAGACTAGTAATAATATTCCAAGCTTTTATTTTATATTTCATTTTATTAATTTTATCGTATGGCATCATTGTGAGGTTGGCCATTTTCATGAAACTACCATCGATTTTTAATATAATGGAAAATATAAAGTGAAATTCGTTTCATTTAAAACGACTTTATCACGTTAATAATTCATCGATATGCATTTTTCTTAAAAATTTTATAATTACAATGCTCTATAAAAATAAAATACTTATTTTTTTGTTTAATGAAGCCGAAACGATATATGCATTAAACTCTTATAGGTAAATGATAGGCAAATTTGTAAATTAATAAAAACAATAATATTATCTTTATTGGCAAAAAGAAAATTTTACATTTATAGTCGAATTTAATGCTTATAGATCATTTTAATCATAGGTTATTAAATGTATAATGATTTCAATAAAATTATCATTATCAGATCAATGTGACCGTAATTTTTGTATTGTAGCAGATCTTTGGCAACTTTGCCAATTAAACTTGCCAATTAAAAACTTTCGTCATATCTTTTTAATTTTTCCACTCGTTTAATCAAAGGACAATAAAAGTCGAGCTCTTTAAATGTGTCTCCAATTCAGTCGTAGCCAGTTTTAATACTGTGTTTTAAAATATATAAAATAATTTTAGAATTTATTTATAGATACATAAGTATTTATGAAATTTGTATCAAAGCTAAAGGTCAGTTTTCTTTTTTATTTCCCTTTATAGAACTTTGTCATAACCAGTGGCCTTTTAAACATTGGAATGCACAATGCAGAATCCAAAACTAATTATAAAGAAGATTCGTTTGAACTACGGCATAGAAAACATAAACAGGAAAAGTTATTTGAAATTGAAGGAAAAATGGTGGGTTCTGGAAATGGAGAAGTACTTGGTCATGACTTAGGCAACGTTAAAACGGAGTTACTTGAATTTAACTCCGAGGATGATATGAATGAAGAACTTGACACTAAAAAATTAATAAACTCACCAATAAATGATGGATCGATTAAAAAAACTGCTGTTTCAAAAGATTTCGATGCGGCGGATAATGAAAGTGTTTGGTCCATTTCTATTCAAATGTTCATTCCATTTTTACTCGCAGGATTTGGAATGGTGGCTGCCAGTTTACTTCTCGATGTAGTCCAGGTAAAAAGATATATATATATATATATATATATATATATATATATATAATAAAACAAAACATTAACATCAAGTAGTAATTAATTAATACAGAGAAACATTTTTTGTGGCTATAAAAAGTGAATGCAAAACTAATTTTGAAATAGATATTTTTAATCCACGTTAAAAGCAATAAACTGATAACAATATAGGCTACTTAAGATTTTTTATGATGATTAACGATATCTTTTATATTTTAAGCATTGGCCAGTATATCAAGAAATTTCAGAAGTTTATATATTAGTTCCAGCCTTATTAGGATTAAAAGGTAATTTAGAAATGACTTTAGCTTCTCGACTTTCAACACAAGCTAATCTTGGCCATATGGACACAAAAAAACAGCAGTGGAGTTTGATCGTTGGAAATTTAGCCCTAATACAATGTCAGGCCATGGTAGTAGGGATGCTAGCGTCTTTAGCAGCGGTTGTACTTGGATGGATTCCGGAAGCTCAATTTGATATACATCATGGATTACTTCTATGTGCCAGTTCATTAGTAACAGCATCGATTACCAGCTTTTTACTCGGATTAATTATGGTTGCTGTGATTCTTTTTTCGAGACGAATGAATATTAATCCGGATAATGTTGCAACGCCAATTGCTGCATCATTGGGAGATTTGACAACTTTAGCTCTTCTCTCTTGGATATCGTCTATTCTATATAATTCAATTGGTAATATTTTTATTTAAAACCAACACTTCATCAAAGTATATTATATAAGTATTTTTTTAAAGTTGTTAATTTATATTAGCAAAAAAATTGGATTTTAATAATATCAATTTGTACAACTAATTATATAAATTAAACCAGTTATTAGGAAATAAAAATAAAATATTTTTTATAGATTTGATCGACTAACTTGCAACAGCAATTATTGAAACTGTATCCAACTATTTTATTATATTAATATTTTGATTTTTTAGATATCTACATATCAATGTAATTTTATATATATATATATATATATATATATATATATATATATATATATATATAATTTTAGGTAATGCTGCATGGGTTGCACCGACTATGATTATTTTTTGCGTCTTGGCAACTCCTATCTGGGGATATATTGCTGCAAAAAATCCTTTTACTAAAGAAGTCCTAGATCATGGCTGGACACCTGTGATATCTGCCATGTTAATTAGCAGGTAAATTACAAATTTACATAACTATTTCTAACTTTTATATATTTTTTGCAGTGAATATATTATATTCAGAAATCGATAAAACATTTTTCCAAAATCGTTTTAGTATTGGTGGTTTGATTCTTGATTACACTATATCGAGCTATAAAGGTATTGCTGTCTTTCAACTTGTTATAAATGGAGTTGGAGGAAATCTTGCTGCTGTTCAGGCCAGTCGGATTTCAACATCACTTCACAAGCAGCAAAACGGCAGTATACGAGAAATGCCAATCGTATGCATAAGTCCTGTAGATGTATTTTTCACAGCAGGTAATTTATACAGATATCTTATAATATTTATATATAAGTATTTTTTTATTATGTCAATAAAATCTTTTTATTTAATTAAAGGAGAGCATGCAAGGACAGCAAAAGTGCTTTTAATGATGGCCATTCCTGGACACCTAATTTTTAGTTATACAATCAGTTGTTTACAAGCTGGACATACTTCCTTGACGCCTATATTTATAATAATTTACTTAACAGCTGTACTTTTGCAGGTATTTTATAATAAAAATACCTATTATAATCATTAATTTTCATTTTATTTTTAATTTTTTAAATCTATCAACGCTTACTTCATTTCATACAAACAATTTTCTATCTAGATTATTTGTAGTTTTTTTTTTAGTAAATTACGTTGTCGATATTTATATTTGATGTAATAAAATTATAAATTTAAACATTAAGAATATAATATTCTCAAATTTTATGTACTTTTTAAATATTTTGTATTTATTTTTTTTATAGGTTATTTTGTTACTTTATATTGCCCAATTGATGGTTGTGTGGATGTGGACCAAAGGTATGGACCCTGACAGCTCTGCAATTCCATACTTGACTGCTGCAGGTGATTTGATTGGAACTGCTTTGCTTGGCATAGCCTTTCATATACTTAATGCTATCGGTGATGGAGATTCTGACGTTGGGGATTAAATATGTAAAAAAACAATTGTAGAGTTCGAAAGAGAGAGACTTAAAAATTTCCAAAGCGTTGTCACATATCTAAATAGTATCTATATTGAAAGATAGTAACGATAATATATTATGATAGTATTTTAATTTTGTGTACGTTATAATGCTGAACTTAAGTGCAACTTAGGAACGAAATCAAAAGAGAAATAAGAGTCATGGTCAAGGTTCCTGATAACATAAGGAAGATCAAACAATTTACGGTATTAATTTTATGGCATTATCTTACAAGACTTATAAATTTAAGAATGTTGCCTCCTCTTAGAAGAAACTGTAAAATAAAAAAATTAAAATTTACAAGAAAAATCATTGTGTGGAAAATAAGTTAAAATACACAATGTTCAGAAAACGTACGTGTGCATGTCGTATGAATGTGTACTTGTTTTGTGTATGCATCTGATTGTTTGCATCGGCATATGTTAAAAAAAAGTGTTTATTGTTTTGAGAATGTAAAATAAAATATTGAAGGGAAGCTTTTTTAATAATCTTTTATAAAATAAATAATTTTGGTACGAACGTTTTTCTCTTTAAACGTGTCAAATTTTGAACATAAATACTTATTTTGTACACAAAGAAAGTTTTCTTTTAATAATTTATTTAAACTTATTTCTTTTAGTGTGCATATATATATATATATATATATATATATATATTATATACATATGTATGTGTGTGCGTGCGTGTGTGTGTGTGGATCTGTGAACTCTCAGGGAACACGCCGAACGCTCAAAGAAATAACAAGTGTTTATTTTTTTGTTTTGACACTTATATTTTTCTATTAACTAATTTTATGTAATACAAATAAATAAATATCAAGCATTAATATATATATATATATATATATATATATATATTATTAATTGGTAATAAAACTCATTAATCCTTTATTCATTTTTAATTTCTCCATTAAATTTTAATTAATATTTGTATAAAAATAAAGCAATGTAGCATTTATTTTTATTTATCATTTTCTTAATAACATTTATCTTAAGAGTAATTTCAATGAAATCTCAACTGTTTTTTTTTTATAAAGGGTATGCATATCAATATATAACATATATCTTTCATACACTATTTAAATAGCTAAAATTATTTATTAATTTAATGTAAAAAATGTGAAATTACATTTGATATCAATAAGTAAATTATAAAGATAATCGTATCATAAGGGTTGAATCTGTTGTACGACAAAAAGATACGAGATTTATAATTTCGTACGTATGCATTGTATTATTATCGTTGACCTGATTAGTCAAAATTCATGTGCAAAAGATGTGTTAATGTAGGAAAGGAGCCAGTGCTTTAATTATCTATGAATATCTGAGAAGATATCTGTCACTAATAATCCGTAGCCTATTATGGACAATGAAACTAATGGAGCATTTATTAAATAATTAAATACGGTTACATTAAAATTAACAATTACTTATTAACCCTAAGAAATTTCAAAGCAATCCATCAACAATTATGAACCTATTGTCATATAAATTATTATATTCATTATATTTAGTACTCATGGGTGATGGCTTAATCATGTATTCTCGAGTTTTTGATCTTCATTCATATAACGGTTGAAATTATAATCGTTATACATATTAATATGTTTTTTACCGGTACTTTAATAATAAATTATATTAAATTAAAAAGTTGTTCAAATTTACTAAGAATATTAAGTATATAAAATCGCATATATACATAGGAATATTCAAATTAGCCAGAGAATATTAATTGATTAAATGTTAAATGTAAATACAATGACATTCCAATAATAAAAAATGACGAATATATTTAAAATTATCGTATGATTGTATAAACAAGAAATTGTCATATTTTTTATATAAAAAGCTAAACAAATCTTGAACCGTATAATTATTGTATTAAATGTAAATAATCTTCCAAACATGTAGTGTTTAAAATCTTCAAAAATTATATTTTTAGCATTTCCATTAAATAAAAATGATCGGCATTAGCATTATTTATACAAATTTTAATAATAAATAATACTTAATTATTTATTAACCAATTAATATTTAATTTGTTATATAACCAAAATTGCTTTTATTTAAAAATATTGTTTATATTTTGCAAAATAACAACATTTCTGTATGCAATATTTTTGTTGTCTATTGTATATATCAACATTTACATTCCACTAAGTGTATTCTGTTTTAAGATAATCCATTAAGTACTGCCTTCATTTTTTAATTATCTTAGGTCGCAATTGAATAATGCTATAGTAATAATTATATGTATTATAAATATTTTAAGAAATTACTTATACTATTATCAATTAGATTAGTAATTACACGACTCGTCAAAGTTTACTTATATTTTGTAAGAGGGAGGGTTGTATTTTTCTAATCGATGGAAGGTAATTTGGCAGGAAGTAGTGAATTTCTGATAGTATCCCATTCCATAAAGTATATATATGCAAATAGATAATTTTTTATTAATATAGAAATAGAAAGGAATTGGAAAAGAATTGCCAGAAAAAAGGAGTCGATTTTTAATAAGCGTAAGTTTTATAAAATTTATATTTGTTAAAATTACGTAATTTAGCTGCTGTGATATATTTTTCATTAACCGCATATGAATCTTTTTCTGGTTATTAACATTTACACGTAAGTATTTGAGTTTTCTGTTTATATTGACATAGTTATATTTAAATATGCTAACTTTATATAATTATAAGATTAGAAGATTACATCTGTATTACATATTACGTATTTTATTTTTTAAAACTGTCTTCATTATGCATGAAATCTGTCAAAAAGTAATGCAAGTCACAACATTCAAAAGCTACATGTAATCGCGATGTTGCGTATTAAATAATTGTCGTTATATAATAATTAATGCATTTACGGGCCTGAAACTGAAAGGATGATAAAAATATCTAGTGGTATTTTATTATATAATTATAATTTAAATACATGATAATTAATTTCTAATATTATAAATTAAAGCAAATAACATTATAAATGGAAAACAATATGCTTATTTTATCAACTTAACAAATTTCAATTATTTGATTGAGTGAACATAGACGTTTTCCTTACGTAAGTATAATTATACATGACTTTAAATTTTTTATTTGATAATTGCTCTTATCTTTTACTCGTGTTAAATCTATAACTTATTTAAAAATTACCTACAATTTTCAAATTTAGTTTTATTCGATGTCGTACTCGGATGAACTTAAATTTAAATGTTATACAATCGAACTCTTATTATAGTAATAGTGAAAAGCCATAAATTGACAAATAGTTTTATTTTTATAATAGTAAAAATGACATCACAATTAATATCCACACATAAAATTATGATCTATAATTAATGTTTTGATTTTAGTATTTTATTAAAAAAATATATATCAGATAAATTTTTATTAAAAAAATATATATCAGATAAGTCCCGAGTGTCCAACATAATATGTAAATTTTTATAAGGTTGAATTCGATAATAACCATCTGCATTTGCAGTTATTTATAATATTTTATACAATGGATTATGCTGAAAAAACATGATAATTACAGATGGCAAGTATATTAACAATGTTTATAGTCCTGATTTTTCAGAATGAGAATTTAAGGCGATAAAATGATAATTTGGGATATATCGATATTCGAATCAATTTTATAACCCAAGTTATCCATTAATATAAAAAAAATACATTTTAGTTTTGTACTCTGTGTTCAATTATCCTATAATACATATTTAAACATTATTTTTACATATAAAGTTTAAATTATAACCATATGAATTTTTATTGTAACATAATTCACAAATAACAATTTAATTATGTAAAACATTACGCTCTCTTTTATCGATATTTATGAATATTTATTCTAAAAACTAATTATAAATAAATTAAATGAACAAAATTGATAAATATCTATATTAAATGAAGGAGAATCAGAATCCTACAAATAAGCATAAATTCGAAGTTTATGTAATTTTTCAAAATAAGTAAAAATTTATTATAATAAATTAAAATTATTTAAAATTTTAAACCTTTTTTTTTTAAACCTCCTTAAATTGACCAACTTTTATGACAAAAACAAAAATAATTTTATGTTAAAAAAGTATTATATAATTTGTTAAAAACAAAACAGATATATAAGAAGACACATAGTATATGAATAATTTGGGTTTTATTGTACTCAAATTTATGCTAGTTGCATATAATTAAAATGTAAAGCAATTACTATTGAGAGTAAAATTTTAACTATCATTCTTAATCCAAACAAGTTGATTAAATAAATATGTTGTAGAAAATTCTGTTCCGTTTATTATAATTATTGTTTATAATCAATTAGAATATGATTTTATTACATTCTGTAGCAGTACATTATTTAAATGCCAATTGAATACATTATTTTCTTTTATTGTTCATTAATAATTTTTTTATAAATAATAAAGTATAGTATTACTAATCAGTAGTCAATAGTTTGATAATTAAAATTTGCAAAATTATATAAAAATGTATTAAAAAAATTTATGAAATATGCAAATCTCTAAGTAGTTTGATTGTATTAGTTAGCTTATATAATTATCATTTGTAACATAAGTATAATTTTTCAATTTATTACAGCAAATATGAAGCTTTATGTGTTATTAAATGATTATAAAAATTTATGTAAAAAAAATTAATGTGAATAATAAAACTACAACTAATGTTCATTTAAACATGTTAAAAAACATATGTAGTTAATATTTTTATGGATAATAGAATGAATAAATTCAGATTGATGAAAAACAATAAAATGCCTTACTTATTTACATTCACTATTTTTTACAAGCTAAAAATACAAAATATTATTAAGCAATACCGTGTAAAAATTCAAAGAATACATCATATTTCAATTTAAGTATTTATTGTGCTAGTAGTTAGTTGCAATAATCAGAAATAATACAACGAGAAGTAAGCTGATTACTAGGGAGTAAATGATGTATAAAATATAATATACATCTGTTTATGTTATTAAAGTATGATAAAGTATCTACATTTTATATATTACCATACATTTATAAATATATATATATATATATGCATTTGTTTATAATTGTTATATTATTGTATATTTTTGTACATAATATGTTTTTATGGAAGACTGTAAAGTTAAAGGCAAAGAATTGATAAGTTTCTATAGAAATTTATTATTTATGCAAAAGTATCAAAGCACTATAATATCAGAATAATATACAAAATATATTTAATACAACTATACTAAGCAAGTAAATATTCTTACAGTTTGATTTCTGATGATTGTAAAATCAATTTTATTCTATAGAACTTTATATCAGTAATTTGTATATAAAAAATTGTTTTCAATAATTAATAAATCCATTAAGAAAATAGTGGAAAAATTGTATCAAATATAAATATAAGCATACTCAACATATTACGGTAGGAGCAAAGTAACCTAAATCTGATTTTAGTCAACTATTTACATTTGAAATAATATTCGATAACTTGAGAAATTACTGGAAACAAATATATAAATAGGAATTGTTTTATTATAATGCCATGTTTCTCTTGAATTCTTTAAAATTTTTGTTTTTGATTTTGTATTACAGCAAAACAATGCATAGATATTCTTCTGATCATTAGCTTCTTCAGTGTAAATCCCATTGTATGGTTTGATGTTCGCTGTTGCTAATAATTACAAAAAAAAAGTCATCTTTATGAAGCTTTGTGCATCATTCGTTGGTGCAAAGTTATACATACTTTTCACCTTACTAATTTTTGAATTAATAAGTCACTATTTTCTTCTATTAGCTACAAAATTCAAACGTTACAATAATATGGTATATAATTATAGGACAAATTTGATCTGTACATGGTTCCATAACTATTAAGTATAGCTGATATACTAGTTAACAAGCTAAATACAAAAATATAAATTATAATATTAGTTTTACATATAAATATATAAATATAATATTAATTTTACCATAAATTTATAATTTTTTCTTCTATTTTTACATCTCTACTTTAATCCTCCTTGGATTTCAATGTATGATGAATCAATTTGTACTCTTTATGTACTATCGTTTCTTTCTATGTTAATAATATTTATTCATAATATTTAATAGTTAAGGGCTCTTTATAATTGTGATTCGTAATTTTCGAAGGACACGACAACACAAAAATGACAACGAATAAAATAGAAAATACAGATTCACAATGACTGAAAAAATCTTCATACCATTTCAAAACATGAGCTGTACCTTGTATTACATCCAATGCTATTAATAGCAAAATGCATGCTAAAGCAGATACAAAATTACAATAACTTAGTAGTTTATTTTTTAATGACTTTTGTAACTTGTTGCATCTTCTTGCAATTAGAATTATGTGATCGAAAAAAAATTGACTAACACTATTGTTGACGAGTGTAATTGCCAGGATTCTGCGAGTACTATAATAACAAGGAGAATGGATAGGAAAACAATAATGTAGAGAATAAATCATTCAAACAGCTTATTAGAACACGTGCTGACTAAATATTACGTTGTTGAGTTTTCTATTTTCCGTAACTCTCGACTTCCAAATTGCATTAGTTTTGCAACCTTTCAATTTAACGATTCTAAGAACTTTCATCAAATTTAATTGTAATTTTATATCTTACGTGCCAAATATTAAATTATCCATGCGTGCGCATACGTTCTATTTTTCAACCGTCACAAATCGTTTCAATACATATTTTTGTTTCATATTATAAACCTCATCTCTTTATTTTATCACTAAATGTTTTATATCATTATATAATTCATTATATAAATATATAGTTTATATTTGCACAATCAATAATATATTCATAGTATATTTGTGTCGACCTTTCACACGCACAATTACCATGTTTTTTATTTTTAAAAAAATTCTCGATTACCCATAATGCCCTTAATTTACTGTTCCGATGTATCTTTGCTTCCTCTTATTTTCCTTCTCTCACTCACTCTCTCTCTCTCTCTCTCTCTCTCTCTCTTTATTTCTTCTGAGAATTTTTTTACTCCGATTCTTTTCAACTTTTGCAATATCAATAGTTGTAAGTATATTTAACTCTATGTTATAGAAGTATAGGGTCATATTATTTATCCGTTGATGTCAAAAAGTATAATTGAAATTAAAATTTACTATACTGTAATTTAGTAGTTGTATGTATTATATTTTATGCGTCCCTTACATATTACTTTCAATACATTTTCATTTACTTTCCAACTTATCGAATCTTTTAGTTTATCATATTTCAATTCTATTCTATTTTCATTCAAATGTCAGTCCTTCAAATTTAATAAAAATTCGAATGTTTGCATTCGCTAGTATGACATTTCCATTGATTATAAATGAAAAAAAAAAGTAGGCAGATCTTTTTAATTTTTACGTTATTTTATGAGATTTATTTTTATAATAAAAAGTAAATATATTAAAGAATTATAATAAATAATAATAACTGTCAAAAATGATGATTTTTTATATTTGCATTTTATTTTGTCAAACTAGTTGGATTAAAGTACTCATATGCTTATACTTTCTTTATTCTTGTTTTATTCATTTATTTAAACAAAATGTAAGTTTAACCAAAAATGAATTCATTTCTTTGCCATTTATTTGCATTTTTCTATTCTATTAACATCGCGCATATTCAACAATAATAATGTATTTAACAATATATATGTAATTGAAAAAATAATTTCTTTTCTTTATAATTCTTTCATTGAATATGAAATTATTAATAAGGTATACAAATAATTACGACTTTGTTAATATAAATTCAGTGTTATTATAATCATTTACTATTACATAATATTTTACTTAAATATTTCTAAAATAAAAAGTTTTAATTTCTTTTTAATCAGAATATTTGTAAAGTCATTATGTAATACTTTTTACATTTATTGAATTGTTTTTTCAAATAGTTGATAAAGAAAATCTTTTAATGTAAAACCATCATTCAAGAGATTAGAGTACGTGGCAAGCGTAAAAAGGATTATTTGCGGATAAATTTCTATTTAGACAAAAAAAAAAAAATCGTTATAACGTGCCAATTGACATTGAAATCAAAACATTCTCTATATATCCCAGAAAATACCAGAATTAAAAATATTAAATTACAATTTTCCACAATAATATTATGACATTCAAAGTATTGAAAAAATTTTTTACATATAATTAAATTATTTTTTTTAATTCGATTTATAACACAACTTTATTATAATTAACAAATAATAATTATTAATTAGTTATTGATTAATTATTCATTAGCTATTAATTATTATTATTTAGTCATTCATTATTATAATTAACAAGCAATTGGTAATAATTAAAATTTATATCGTAAGATTATTCCTTTTTATAATTTCGTCGTTGTTTCAAATTCAATAATATAAGGATAATCGTATCATATCGTATTTTTATTCGATATTTAAAAATTCTTTATTTTTTTGAGATAAAAATACGCTCTATTACAATAATATAGTTTCCCAATAAGAAATTCTAATATTTAAATTTTCTAATATTTATATAAATATGTTTTATATATATCGACAGTTTTTCTAAAATTCTATAATTCTACGAAAATTCTAGAAGTTATTTTTCTGATATTTATTATCTTTCATTAAAAAGCTTTGTAAATGTGTAATAATGCATTATTATAAAGTTTTGATTTGTATGAACAACAAAAATATCTTATTATATATTAAAAATTATATGTATTTCCTTTTTGTTGCAAATATTTGTTAATTTTGAATTCTTAATCAAAATTTTTGTTTTAAAAACCATACAATAAAAAAAATAGTATAATTGTTGATTTAATTCTTAATTTCATTCATTAAATAAAGTAAGTATAAAAAATATTATAGTTTGTTGCAATTGTGAAATAGCCTAATTTAAAAAATTTTAAATACTAATACACCGGCTTGATGTTTATTTAGAATATAATAAATTCATTTGCATATAATATAATAAAATAAATCATTTTTATTGATAATCAATATTCAAATAATCAATAATCAATATAATATAATATAATAAAATCATTTGCATCAACATAATAGACATATTCTACAATAATTTCGTTAAATTAAAATTCTTTTAATTAAGAATATAAAAATTGTCAATAAGAGTTGAAATAAATGTTTTGTACTATCCTCATATGAGTTGAAATATATATATCGTTATTTCTACATATAATTTTTCTATTTAAATAAAGCTTATTTTCAAATTTTGCATTTTAATAATATTCTCAGAACTTATGGTATGTAAAGAATTTTAATATAAATAAAATAAAATTTTATTACAAATTTTAGTACGTACGAATTTGTATGTTACTGTTCTTAAATTATTTTTAAGTTATACAAAGTAATTTTTGTATCCTGACTTATTTTCAATCATTGCATTGAAAAAACATCATAACATTTTTTATATTATACTGTAGGTTATATTAAAATTCATCTAAAATTCATAAATAAGATCGTTCAAATGTTCTTAATTAAAAAAAAAAATATATATATATATATATATATATATATATAATATTAATATTTAATAAATAGGATTTTACTTTCATCGGTCGATTGCCCGTAATACACGAATAAGCACCGATCTTACTACTATTAATTATCATAATTTCTTTAATTGAAAGTAAACAATTATGATTAACTAACTAATATATTAAAATAATGTTAAAAAATTCAAATTTGATTTTATATCGCCGTTTAATACTTGAATCCATTGTTTATGCTAAACTAGCTTTAATAAGTATGAAATTAAATTAAATTTGACTTAAATTTGTTGATAGTGAAATTAATGGTATTGCAAATATCTTTTATTGCTCGATATTTACATCAAATGATGTTTAAAAATTATTTTCGGTCTGAATTATGAAATAAAAAATTTATTTATAGTGTTTCGAATAATTGTAAATACAAATAATTAAATAGTTTAAAATTCAAATATAAAACAAGTTGTTTATATTTTATTTAAATCGTTCATCCAATGTGGTAAGGTTTGAATAAATTGATACAGTTTCTCTCCAGGACAAGATGTTGAATCTGCTTGCCGATGGCCAATTAAAATATAATTATTACTGATATTACCAGTGGTAACTCCGTACGAAATTAAATTCTTTATGGCTTTTATTGCAACAATATTTGGAATTCGATCTACAAAATTCAGCACTTAAATCAATTAATATAAGTATATATATATATATATATATATATATTTAGTAATGCATTTAATTTAATTTAATTTAATTTAATAATATATATATATATATATATATATATATATATATAGTAATGTATAAAAATATATTATATATTTAGTAATGAGAAAAGTACAGAGATATATGAAAAAATTGTGTTTCTATTCTATTACAACAATACTCTTCGCATAAACGATTGAATAATTTTTATCATAAATAATGAAAGATCTTTCACACAATATTATCAATTATATTGTAAATTTATCTAATTAATGGCAAAAATTATTACTTTGATAAGTTCCAATAATACAAATGCCAATGCTTCTGTTATTATAATCTATTGTATGCGCACCATTTTTTCCCCAACCTCGGCCTTCATAAATATTTCCATCTTCACCTATAATGAAATTGTAGCCAATATCCTTCCATTTTTTGTCATTCATATGATATTTCTGCACCGATAAAATTTACGATATTATATAATAATTAAATGTAAATACTTAATCATTTATTTGAACTTTTTACCGTACTATTTGATATTTTGACGGATTTTACATTGAGTTTGGACTTATATAATTAAGTGTGCAGCTTCTTAATTTTAATAAATTATTTTCATTAGTACATTTTGAAAACAAATTAAATCTTGATGGTAGACTTTTTGAAACAGTTATATAAACTACCGCTGCTTGCATTATGTTTATTAATAGATTCATGTATATATATATATACACACACATATATATATATATATATATATATATATACTTTGTTAACTATTACATTGATATACTTAAAAAAAGATAAGTTATTATTTTGAATATATTCAATTTGTATTCTATTGAATATTTAATTTTTCTTTATATAGTAAAAAATTGAAAATTACTTTTTCATAATTTATTTCCATTCATAAAGAACGTTTCTTAAATTTCTTTTATAATACATAAAATTTGTAGACATCATTATAAATCAATTTTTTTAAATAATACTTCTTAGTAAACGAAAATATTCATTGATATTCATTAACATTCATTCATTTTTATTTTGAAAAATGCATATTTTTTCCGAATTTATTTTTGTTTATGAAAAGAATAGATATAAAATTTAATAATAATATATAATAATACAGTATTTTATATTTTCTTACATATATTATAATATTTATATTATATTATATTATATGTATTATAATTATAATATAATATATTATAATTATAATATAGAATTTATCCATTATTTTTTTATATGCGTATAAATAGATTTTTTGGTTGTACGTTCTGTTAATGTTTGTTAAGTATATTGTGTAATCAGTAAAATGTGTTTTAATAAATCTACGACAGTTCATAGAAAAAGTAATTTTCATCTATTATATACAGTTTCTTTTTTACTTTCGTGTAAAATTATTATTTTTAAAAAATTGGTACAATAAATTCAATAGCAGTTTTTATGTATAAATATAAGCTGTAAAATATTTTCATGGCTGTGCATCTTCCATATTCGTCATGGCGTTAAATCAAACATTTATAGTATCACTCAACTTCTATAATTAAAGGGCAAAAAATATTTCATATTTATGTAGACAAGTGAAATAATGGTTTTACTTGAAAAGCTCGAATTTTTGCTTGACAAACTGCTCTTGTAGTGCATGTATCAGTAGCTGAATGATGAATGATGACATGAGTTGGCGGCTTTATTTTTAATGGATTTACATCATCACGTTGTTTTGTAGCTCCCCATTCGGATCTTCTGATAAAACTGATTTCTATTAATCATTCCAAATATGCAAGGAACAATAGCAACAAAAAATTTCAACATTAATCAACGTATTTCTCATTATATTCATTTTATTCTGAATTAGAAAAGAGAATATCTTAAACGTTAAACAAAGATATAATTGATGAAGTTAATTAAATTTTTAAATAAGTAATAGTATTTTTTCAGATAATTAGTTTCATGCATATTTCATTTGTATGGGTTAAAAGTTCAGAAAAAAAATAATTTTTGAAAGTATAGTAATGATGGTTTAAGGCATCATATCTATACATCATTATTTATCAAAATTATTATAAGAAGTGTTTGAAAAATAAATCTGACTTATGTCTGCATAATTGAAGAGAAATTGAATTAAAAAATCGACCAGAAATTGTTTTTCAATACATCTAGGTCTACCAATTGAAAATTTGTAAAAATTCACGAAATCTATCAACCTTTAATTATTTTGAACAAATAATATAATACATTATATAATTATATAAATTTTCATGTTTTTTTTTTTTTTTTTAATTATTATTGTATTATTCTATTGTATAGTTGAATTATTCAAATGGTTCTCGTAAAGGCCTACGTTTATTTTAATAATGACAAATGTTATAATTTGGTTATAATAAAATGTTTATTTTAATGTAATTGCGAGGATCACGACGCGTATAAAATAGTAAAACTTAATATGTCACTTCGATTACACTTCATCATGCATCAAGGTGCCATCTCTTACAGTCGAGTACATCTTGAGTACTCAACATCATATCCAAAGTCTTACTTTTCAAAATGTAGAAACAATCATTGGAATTTGTAGTAATTAGTAATAATTTATATACTGATTATGCTTAAAAACACGATTGTTCGAGAACTAATTGGCAAATACATTTACGTTTCCAATAGTCCATATTTCTCCAAAGTTCAACATATTCGTTAATATGTGTTATTAATATATTTATTGTACATACATAACTATTATACGCTTGCTATTCTTCTGTTATGTTTTTATCTACGAATTGTATTTTACTTAGGATTGTAATTCGCTATTATTGCTATAATTATATTTATAAAGAGTTATTCTATTAATCGTTCAATTAAAAAACTAAAACTAAAACTAAATAAACGATTACATAATGATTTCGTCAGTATTTTTAAGATTTTTATTGTATGTAAATACCTTACCATCTACAAAATTTTGATTCAGGATTGTTGCTTCCATTAACGATAGCAAAACTAATAATAATAATAATTTCCAAGCCATTGTTAAATAATTAATTATTAAATAATTATTATATAATTTATTATTTCTATTTAATTAAATTTCGTTTCTATTAAAAATAATTGACCTTATTTACTTTCATCTTCTTTGAACTGTGCCTGCTTGCATATCTTACGCTTCCAACTTAAATCTACGAAATGATAATTCTATGAATTCTGTTTAAGCTTTTGCGATCACTTTAGTTTGCTCAATTAATTGTTTTAAGAAGTTCTCTGCGAACATTATGTTTTACATATTTATGCTCTTATTGCATTCTGTATCGAGTTGCATTTAACGATTACGAGGCCATAGGCCAATCCACCGATGAATTTTTTCCCTGCGCTGGAGGGGAAGCACAGGCGATAAGAATAAAGTAAGTATAAAAGTAAAGTTATATACAACCCTATCAGTTATCAGAGGAATTTGAGTAAATATAAACTAGATAACAAGAAATATCTTGTAATGAAATGAAAAAGTAAAAAATTATCACGTGTATTATATGCATAAAATAAGATATCATATCAAAGAAATTTCCCTCTACAAACAAATTCTATTTTAAATACTTATTTAAAAAATGAATTAATATTGAAAATTTTGTTCCGTCTTATTAAATCATTCCTTCCTAGTTCTATATAAATCCAGTGCGTAAATCATCATGGATATAATCATGTGACTTCAGATTTTATTAAGATTACATGTATAATAAATATTTCAGAAATTTTATGTTTAATAATGTTCTCGATAATTAACACCCGAATGATCATATTTTAGTTGTTTTAATGAACATTTTTAAAGCCGAATAGAGAAGATGAATTTCGCAAAATATAACGATAAATATAATTGTATATTTTCATTATATAATATCTTAAAGTGAAGTTATTCAAAGTATTAATCGATATTATATATTAAGTATAATCTACAAATATAAAGAATAAAAGATTCTCCTACCGAAAGTCTATTTTGAAAAAATAATGTTATGAAAGTGTGGAAGGTAATTTTTTGGCTAGTAATCGATTTAAAATAGTAGATAAATCAACAAATTTAACTAATGTAATTCCCGCCAAACATGAAGTAATATCATTTTTTTAAGCTCATACTAATAAATAGCATATAATTATAAATTCAATATAAAATAAAACAAAGAATATAATAAAATAGAAATTTTGACGCGAATGATTGTGTTCTGTCGATTAATTAAATGGTTCGAATCGGTTATAAAATATTGCATTTTGTGGATTTTTAAATCGTGATTAGCTTTTTTTAACTGAATGTGTTTTGTATCGTAAAAAATCCAGTAAACTTAAAAGATTTACATAATTTTATATATTTTTAACAATTTCAATATTTTTAAAAAACGTAACAACTTATTTGATCAACGGATATCAATGGAACAATTTGATTTTTTTTATGATAGCCTAAATGTTAATCTACCTAATTACAATTCATGTTTAAAATGAAAGTTTTTTTATAAAATACAATATTTTGTTATAATTGGAAGCATGAGATATGCTTGGAACTATATCTATGGAATTCAATTAAAAATTACACTTAATGTCAAATTATTACAATTAACGACTTGGAATTATATATTAATGGTAAGATACACTAATAATATAATGAAATAATACATATAGAATAGTTACAAATGTATAAAAATTTCAATCATTAACTACCTTATGTTAAACAATGATAAATGTGAATAATAATTTAAGAATTATACGTGTAGAAATATATGCAGTAACAATACCAATATGCGTACAAAATTTCAATAAACATCGTTATTTAAATGTTTATTTATTTTAGATCGAAAATTGCATTAATTTTATATACAGTTTTCTTATTTCATTATTTTTTCTTTATCTCTGAAATACAATTTCTTTTAATTAAAATTAGAATGTTTAAAATTAATTAATATATTAACAATTATTTATAATCTTACACAACATCTAAATTATTTATAATTATTATTTATGCTCTGATTGAGTAAGTACTGTTTGTATATAAGACAGAATTAATTTTTTTTTTTGATTTTCTGTTTTATTATTAGATAAAAATTAATAAAAGTAAACAGAAATACTGTCTTTGTCGCCTTATTAAAAGTAGAATCATTCAGGAGATTCATACTGATAGGTGGTAATTGTACTTTCATTATTAAAAATTGGCTTTGGTTTACTTATCCAATGTTGTTGATGTTTCACATATTCATATAGTGCCTGTCCAGGACAAATAGTCGGTCGAGTTTGTCTATGACCAATTAAAAAATAATCTTTAGCTATCTTCCCAAAACCTACACCGCATTTAATGAAAGACTTCAAAGCTTTTAGCGCTGGTCGTTTGGGTAGTGTATCTGCGAAATTCGTAAATACATATGTAAATCTACATATATGTGTGCGACCACGTGTGCGCGCGCGCGCGTGTGTGTATAATCGTCGAGCACTGGCATTTATATAATATTTGATAATGTTAGATTATAAGCTAACTTATTCTTGTTATACATATCAGCACTCACTGTTGAAGTTGCCTATCATGCATACACCAATACTTTGTGTGTTGTAACCAGGTGCATGAGCACCGACAGAATCCCAGCCTCGTCCTTCGTAAACATTACCATCCTCGCCGACGAGAAAATTATAACCAATATCATTCCAATGGTTCTTGTCCATGTGCAGATTTTGATAGGATTTCACTATATGTGAGCATGAGCTTTCATTGAAACAGTGTTGGTCAATACCACCATGATGGACAACAACGTACGGCGTGGGAATATATATCAAAGGTTCGGAACCATAACTTTTGCGTGCTTTCCATTCCGTGCGACTGATAAACTTTGGACAAGTCAATAATTTTTTACCTACGCACACTAAGACAAGTTCTATTATGTTATATATATATATATATATATATATATATATATATATATATATATATATTCTTTTTTTAACAAAAAGTAATTCTCAAATTTTCGCACGTTAAAAGTCTAATATTAATTGTTTGAAAGTAATAAAAATAAAAATAATTTGTTATCAGATATTATATTTATTTAATAAAATGTGGAAAACAACAGCATTATTTTCTAATTTAAATCCGATATAAAATAGTTGCAGGTTAAATTTCATTGTAAATTAATTGAAAAGGAAAATTCATGTAATTGTGATTTCAATTTTGCAAACTATTAAGATTAAAAAACTTATGAATATGAAAAAATTTGTAAATTTTTTTCTATTACGTGAATTCCAAGAAACGTATTGGATAAATCAATAACTAACAAACCATATTGTTATTATTACTTTCAATCTAAATCAATGACTGCGGATAAATTATTGAATATTCAGTTTTATGCCTTTGAAATGCTTTGAACTTTATGTTTTATCTTTAAAAGAATGAAAAATATATTATTATACATTAGGAGTGAAGTATAAAAAAAAAATTTATGTTTTAAACCTGTAATGTATTAAATATGTATTAATACTGTATTAAATTTTCTTGAAGGGAAGCGTATATTTATTAATTTTGTTCATTATTTATTTTCAATATAAATTTATTTGAACAACAAGTTACACTTTATGTACATAAAATTAAATAAAATTAATATTATTATAATTTACTATACGAAATAAGATGACATATTTTGTAAAAAATAATGTACCTAACATATATTAGTTTAACAATAATTTCAGAAAAAGTTAAATATTATATTTGACGTAATAATTATAAAAAAAAAAAAAAAAAACAACTAAATAAAAATAAAAGGCACGCCGATACTTTTAAATTTTAGAAAATTGAAGAAAAGTTTAACTAATAATTTAATCAATTAATTTAGCTCTGAATTTCATTATTTGATGAAATAAATAATAGTGAATTATTAAATGAAAATTTAAGTGACGTCACAATATTATAATGAATGATAAATTATTTTTTAATTCAAATTCTGTATTACGATTTAATTTTATAAAAGACCTAGAAATAAAAATTTCATTAAAATTTTACATGTAGTTTATATTTATTTAAAAAATGTCATGCAAAAGATAAGGTTTTTTTTATGATGTATTTTAGATTGTTATAAAAACTATATGAAGTAGACAATCAAGAATTGCTAATTATATTTTTAGAAGATCAGTCGCTTATTTTGCCAAATTTCCCTAAATTTTAACGTAATCTTTGCATCGAATTATTCAAATTATTTTATTGTATTGAAAAAAAAAATATATAAATATTAATATTAAATATAATATATGATATAAATATTATATATTATTATAAGTATAACGAATACCTTTATTATTAAAAAATGCAGCTGATATTGATAGGAAAACAAAAAATTTAAAAATTACTATTATTAATTGTGCTTTTTCCATTTTGACTCATTGATATTTTGAATGTTGATGATTCCGTTTTCACTTGAAATGTATTTAACGAGTTGTTAGGCTACGAACAAGTGTAATTTAATCACTCTCGGCTGTAAAATAAGAGGATGAACTCGCTCTCGTGTGAATTTATAGTAAATGCTTTGATGAGGTCAGAGAATATCGACGCGCTAATTATTTTTTTCTGTAATCTTTATAAATTTATTAAGCTTATACACGTGACTTTCATTTCGATTTTTTCTCAACTTTTATTGCCCATTGTTCTCTTTAATTATTGTTGAATGTCCACATAAATTTAAACTATATTTATAATGGAATTCAGAAATTTTATTGATTGATACGAAGACTTTAATATTATACAATCAGGTGTTTGTTTTATAATGCTATAAATTCAATAAATTCATATATGTCTATTAATTTATCGAATTTTAAAAGATATATTATTAACTAAAAAGGAAGAAGTGCCCATAGAACTGAAAAATAAAACAGAAACTAATATTAATGTAATTAGAAAAAATAAAAAAAATATTAACATTAAAAAATATTGCGTAACATTATCATTGTCACCAACATTATTTTTATTGTTAGGATAATAATGATTCCTATAAGAATTTATATTTTTAATTTTCGCTCAGTACATTTGGAAAATCCATATTCAAGTTATATGCACATTCATTATAAAAAGTTATTTTCTTGTATATTATTGTAAATTACGAAAATTTAGTTTTACCATGATTTCCATATTGATTTTATTATTATGATATTTTTCTATTACATTCCTCATACTTATTTATAAATTAATTTCTAAGATAAAAAGTGTTTGCTTATTTATAATAAAAATTAATATAAATATTAAATATTTAAAATAGAGATTTTACTTCTAATTATTTAACAAGTCTTTTAAATATAAGTACCTGTAATTGTGAACATACACGGTTGCTTTAGTTCGAGTATTTCAGTTTATAAGTTTGATACAATCAGTTTTGGGAAATTTTAATCAAAGTATTGTTTTACTGTATTATATTATTATGTATTATTATGAGTACATGTAAGAACGGATTATTGGACAGTTCGATTAACTTCGTAGTGCATAGACCAAAAATACTACTATGATAAGAATATAAATGAATCGATTCAAAAATATAATAGAGAAAAACTATATTGTCATAAATATTGATAATTTTTAAAATTACCAATAGTATACGTATTATTTCTTGGAATTTTGTTGTAAGCTTATATTATAAAATAAATATTTTAATAAATATTTTTAAATTTTATCTCATTTTTGGTTTTATAAATCAATAGATACAGCTTTTTAAATTTAAAAATTTTTAAGTTTTAATAATAAAATATATAAATATACAACGTATATTTGCCGTAGTTTATGTAATTAAGTGAAATATATGAATAAAATAACAAAGGAAATTAAAGTTATGGTTTTAACTTATATTTATTATCGATTGACAATACTTGTAAAATATTTTAAATATTATGCTATTATTATCAGTTTAGTTGAAGATAATTAAATTGCCATAAAATGAACAAAGATGAAATATTTATATGTTCGTTTTCTATATTTATATTTTTTAATATAAAATAATTAAATTATAATATTTAATTAATTTAAAAGTACAATTCTAAGGAATATTTACATTTTAACGAATTTTACTTTAATATTTTTAAAATTCCCTTTTTTTTATTTGCAACTGGTTATTTATTTATTTATCGTGTTATTAACAAATTCTTAATTTTCGATATGAAAAATTTTATTTACCCACAAAGAAAATTATGTAATATTGAATGTATTTAAATATGAATAATTTGCCCACTTAGAATTTAAATGAAAAACATCATTATTTCATAGTTTATGGCTAATATAGAAATTTAGTATAATACATATAATAAAATAAAAATAAAATGTGAATTATATATATTTTTTGTATTTTATCTACTCAAAAGTACGGAATAGTTGATAAACATTAAATGATTTCACCCGGTAAATAGAAAATATTAAGAAAGGTTTTAATAATCAATTAACAAAATCAATTAATATGATTTGTATTTTTATCAAGATTTATTAAAATTACTTTTATTAAAATTTTCTATGCAGTACGAGGAAAAATATCGTTATTATATTATTTTAATATACTATAACAATTTTTGTATGTATATTAATTTGAATGATATTTTACGTTTTATATTTCTAGTTAATAAAAATTAATGAAATTTTTTCTGTTTGTAATAAAAATGTTTGTAACATTTATGGTTTCTATTTACTTTCAATTTCAAATATACCAATTATATATAAATTTATTTAAATAATTTCCGGATGAAGTAATTAAACTTGAGACTCGGAAAAAATGTATTTGATTTTGCAATCTTGTAAAATGCTAATACTGCAAATGCACAAATGCGTACACAAGCATACATGCATTTAAACACAGACACGGACGCTGACACACACACACACACACACACACACACACACACATATATATCTAAACCATCTAGGTTTTGATGATTAAAAAAATCAAGTTAAAAATAGAATATAATATAAAAAATTGTTGAAGAGTTTATTTTTAATTTAATTTCATTTAAAATTTTAGAATGCAAATGAAAATGTTGTAATATGTAATTCAGAAATTGTACATATTATTGTAAAGATACTAGTCGATTATATTATAATTATATTATCTTAAAAATTGTAACAATTTTAATAGAGCATTTAAAATTTTGTAGACGAGTAAATAAAATTATATATACACTATAAGAATTAAATATTTATAACAATATGTGTTAAGAATAATCAAATTTTTTTTTATCAATAAAGCATTTTTACATGTTCTAGTTTAAGAATTTTACTATGCTTTTATAATTATTGTCGATAAAATGTTTTATTTGTCATACATTGCGTAAGCTAATAAAAAAACTAATCACCTCAGACTTGAGTGTACACTGTAACAAGACGATTTACGGCATTATCATAACTATCAGCTTCGGATCTTACGCATATATCTAATCTAGAATAACCTTTGCCTTTTAAATTTATTCCATGATCTCTCACCTGAAATCGTTATTAAATTTCTTAATTTATATACATATTGTAACTTTATAATATTTTAATAATTAATTAAGAATTTACAATTTGTAATTGCAAGTATAGTAAATTATATAATATAAATATCTCAAATTAATTGTAAAATATAACGACGCGTTTAATAGAGATGAGATATGAAAAAAGTTGTTAATGACTGATCGATAGATTGAATTACTGCAACACATTCCGGATATTATATAAAATATCGGTTTATTCAATGCATTTTTATGAATTATTAAATAATTACATATATATATATATATATATATATATATATTTTTTTTAATACATAAAAATATATAGAATAAACAGATATTTTATATAATCCGTGATATTTTACTTAACTTTTCAATCCTTAAATACAAATTTTATTTTTATGAATTATTATATTTCTATTTAATTGTTTTATTGTACAATTATATAAATATTATAGTGGAAGCCAATTACAATTTTATCAAACAATTAACTAAAAATAACCAAGTAAACCATATTTAAATAATAATAACTAAGTCAATAACAGAAATTTTTTATTTATACAACAAAATAGTTTTATCTAAGTAAGTTAGAAAAATAGAAAAATATTTTTATATAAAATTGATTATATAAAATTAATATTTTTTTTTTTAATTTTAAAAATTTTTTGTAGCAATAATTGCCTACTGTCTTACTTGTAGTGGAATTATTCTTCCATAATGTTCGTTTAGTTCTGGAACGCAAATAACTGATCCATATATTAACTTCGATATCTCATCCATAGCAACTGTCACATATTCTGCTCTTCCATCAATGAAGTCCTTCCAGAAATAATTGTTTATTATAATCATATTGAAATAATTACTTTTTAAGTTTTTTAAAAAGTCATTTGTCACGTTAAAGATTATTGGTAGCAAATATTTGAGGAAAACAAATAATAAATTAGAATGTTGATGTATGTAATGGAAAAGTAATATTCAAACAAAGTCGACATATTTTAACAAAAAATTTAACAAAAAAATAAATAGTAATGCCATTTAATATAAAAATTTATGCATGATTACTTTTAGCAATACATTTCTTTTATACTTTACCGTTGAAAATATAAAATACAAAATATACAAATTTTTCAAACATTGTAGTAGCTACGTTTGCAAACATAAAATAGCTTAAAGAGTATTATTATATAAACAATCAGGAAAATGTATAAAAAAAATTTAAACAATTTTACTTTAGCTCTAAACATTGTTTTTATTATTGATACTTTTCACTCAATTTTGGAATATTATTTCTTTAAATCATAATGCTTACGAAGAAGTATAATATTAATCAAACAATTAAACATAAAAAAATTAATAAAACTATTCAATGAATTAAGTTTTACGAACGAATTACTAATTATTCTATCGTCAACAGCCAATATTACGTTACAAGTGAATAATTATCAACAGAATTATAAATCTTACCTATATTAACATATTTCTTTTTTTTTTTTTTTTTTTTTTTTTTTTTTTTTTTAAGTTTTAATTAAAGATTGAATATTTAGATATACACATTAATAATTTAAAGATAATTAACAATATTGGTTTTAAGCTATTAGCAAGTAATATATCTTAACTAAATATTCAAAACAGAGATGTAAATAACAGTTTAAGAAACTACAGCCATGTAGGAAAAGACATATTTATAAAAATGTAAATTTCTTTACGAAAATAAAACGCACCTGTAAGGAACGAAGTTTTTTGCCTTTCGTGTCAAGATAGTCAGTTTCGTCATCACTAGTATAATCTGGATAATAACCGGTGAGGGTCACATTGTAGTGTGCGCGACCGGAGCAAGCTAATTTGGATCGATTTCTCAGTTGTTCTGTAAAATAAAATATTTATTATATAAGCGTAATTTAGGAGCCAATTGAAACAATAAAATAATAAATCTTTTA